TTTTTTCTCACAATAGCATAGTATGTATGTAACTATGCCGCATTTTAACGAATTTTTTCGGATAAATTACAACAACAATTAACCACAATAGCAAACACAGATATGAGCTCTTATTGGTCGGTACAGCGGCGCCTGTTTTGTAACTTTAAGCGGGCCGTTTTTCAATTAAAGTCAAAGCCCAAATTAGTTGATTACCTTATTTTTCCCAAATTTTGTGGAAGAAGCGTTTACTTTTGCTTCAGGTCGTCGGTAATTTGCTGCTGCAATGGTTACACTGAAGCTTTTATTGTAACACGCGTTTCTTTTCACACAAAAAAATATTAACGCAAAATATGCAGCAGCGCCGCTGGCATTAAGAAACAACAACTGTGTGTGTGATATGGATATGTGTGTGCTTGGTTGATTGGTCGTTGTAGGTGGATGATGTAGCTTAAATGGCCAGACCGTCTTAAAAATCTCGATGTGGCAGTTCAGTTTAGTTCAATTTACTTAGCTCACGGCTGAGCTAGTGATTCACGATCAGCTCACATTTTGTTTTTCAGTTTAGTCCTTTTGTCGCTTTTTGTGATTTGCATTATATGTTTGTGCTTTTAAGCTGTGTTACACACCTTTGAACTATTAATTTAAAAGGGCTTACAAATTCTTTTGAGAAACTGCTGCTCACTTGTTTCAAACAGCGTTGCCATATATGCAAAGAACAATCAAGTTAGCCGATTTGCCGTTACTGTGTCTACAGTTAAGAGAAACTACAAATATTCAAATTTATAAGTAAAAAGTACTGTAATGACATTTGGAGACACATATGCATGTATCTATGGGTGACTATAAAAGCAAATTGTGTAAATATTAAAATGAGAGAAGAATCTATGCTATTAATGCCCCTTGAAGACTTGCTATGAAAACTGCTCTGTGTCTCAATATATTCTCATCGAATTTTGAATAGGCTATGCTTAATTCAATCCCCTTTTCCATCGGATAAGTATGTAGAACGCGTAATGTTTTTTAACGTTATTTAGGAATGTTTGCAGAAGCCGGTGTTCAATAATGTATTAAACAAAATCGATGTGGATGATGTCTATAAAAAGCTCACATGGAGGTGAACTCGCTATAAGACGTTATTTTAACTTTAATAAGTTCTCTTTTCAACTGTTTGCTTACGTCAAAGGTAATCTATTATATTTTTTGTCAATACATTAACAGATTTGTTTGCCACATCACAATAGAGTAAACATGACGCTCTCCCTTTAGCTTTGTGTATATGTTGAGCCTTAAATTTTCAAGTAGTTAAATGAAATGTCTAGTAATGTTAATTTTTTTTGTATTTATTTAAATATACATATAATAATAGATTAATTACTGTACGCTTAACCAAGAGAAGTCCTATTCGTAACCATACACACTAAATATGCACAAAATTTGTTTTATTTAAAAAAAAGGCAAAGTCAAATCAAACAATATTGCAAGGCGAAGCCGAGAGCGTAAATAAAATATTGGCCAAAAACATGTTTTTTTATATCTATATATAAAATTATCTTTCACATAACACAATTTTTTGTTTGCATTTTAATTGTAAATACATAACTAAATAGATATAAATAATCGTGTTTTTCCTGCGTTTTCTGGTTTTGGTGTTTGGTAAGTAAACATAGTAATATATATCGCTTTTTTTAGATAATTTTAAAAGATTTTCTTGTTTTTTTATGGTTTTTGAAAATTAGTTTTTGACTTTTCCCGTTTTAGACCAGCTTGCAAGTTTGTTTGTATATACTTTTTCGCATCGTTTTGAAAGCTGCATTCCATCAATATATATATACATATATATATATATATATATAGATCATTAGAACGCTTGCCACAACTATAGCGCAGCCGTCGGTTTATTGATCCGCGCCATAAACATTCTCATCAGAATAGGCTATATAAAGGAAGTAGTCCTCTTCGTGGTGTTCCTTTAGAGTGATCGAGAGAGCAATTTTGATTAGATATAGGCAGTTATATAGAAGGCTGGTTTTGGTGAAGTTTACCTGATACAAGGATCCCATGGTTGCCGATGTTGGTGGAATGACATTATTTACGAAGAAGAAGAGTGCATCCTCGGGACGCAGGTATATACGTTTGCGTATGAGAAAGTAAAACTGTCCTACGGTCAAATCCGATGGCACCAAATATTTTTTCTTATCCAAATCACCAATGCGCGCCTTCGGTGCCTTCTCGACTATCACCTGAAAGTATAAAAGGAAATTTTAAATTTATAATTGTAATAATCTTAATATTAAAAGCCATAATTTCGTAAGTTTAGGTTGCTGGTGCTATTAAAGATTGCTTGTGGACTGCTTTTCAAAGGTTATTTGCGTCTCGAATAGTTCCAATTCCTCGCATTAAGTCAGAACTGCTTTTTCCAATGCGCTATCGCTAGTTTAATGCAAAACAATTGCGTCTTGGCTCTGGAGGCAGAGGCTACTCAGACAACGTATGTCCACTTGCTACGTGCCACAAAACAAATTCTATAAGCTTGTCGGACTTTGTGCACAACCCAATTGACAATTGTAATTGCATTTTTGTTTCGAGTTATTTCTGTTTATTGTTTTTAGCAACAAACAAAGAAAAGTGAAACAATTTGGCAACTAACAGGTTCAACCACATTCTCACAAAAAAAGCAAAAATCATCAGGTTTGTCTATACACACATACATATGTATGTATGTATGTATTTGTATTCTCATCTGTCTGACGAGGAAGCAACAGCTTATAATGAATAGCAATTAATTATAATCAATATTGTTATCATGCGATATTGTCGGCAAAAATCGAGCGGCGAAGAGTGCCAAATGAATTGGCGATTTTTGCGTCATTGGCCGCTTTCAAGGTGTCGGGGCATTGGGATGGCCAAAACTATTTAATGTACTATAGACAATAGAAAAACTTGCTATGGGATAGATTATATTATGATGAGCCCCACTCTAAAGGCCTGACTTGGTACGATAAGTACACAACGATGTATAATGCACTCTCCATTAAGGTTAATATTATTATGAATTATATGAGACTATATCTTGCGTTTTTTTTTTAAATATGCTATGCGTGGTAAGTGGTAAGCACATACATATGTACATATATCATATCGAAGAAGGACACCCAAGGTTTGGTATCTCTACTTTGATAGTCTCTGAGATCGAAAAATTAAGATTTTTAAAATATTTTCAATAAGGGACTGAATTAAGAACCTGTGTGTAATAAATGTTTATTCCGAAAACTCGAGGTCAAATGGACGAGCAGACACTCAACTTGATTAAGGTTATAGATATGTACATATCTATGTATATATGTATGTACATATATGATATATGAAAGTATGTATATACATACATTTGAATTAACATTCGGACTCTGAGTATAGAGTATGTATATAGAGAAGCGTTGTGGGACGAACAGTCAGCTGTTATGTGATTTGCACGATTGCCAAATATTGTGCAAACAAATTCTTTAAACAAATTTAGGATGCATACACACGTATGTATATGTACATATGTTTATGTACACATATCTACATATAACAATACATGTATGTTCATGAACTATGCACTGCGCAGGGAATATTTAAACGGCAGCCACCACTTCAACAAGAAGTTGTTGATAACAACCACAATGTACATATGTATATACATACATATATATACATATGTATGTACATATGTGTGTTCGCAAATTATTATTGTGATGAATGGTGAAATAGAAAAACAAAGCAGGCAAATAGCCAACAACAATATGACTAATTGCATATACGCTGCTGTAAATATAGAAGAAAAACACACACTCACACTTATAGACAAGCAACTGGTCAAAGTGAGGGGTGTTATTAGGCCAGGTAAGCGGTGAGCCGATTTGGTTTTTTTGTACGCAATAGAAAACAAATTCATGTTCTGCGAACAAATTTTGCAAACAAACGAAAAACCAAAAGCGAAATCTAGACGAAAAACAACTGGTTGACTAAGTAAGTATGTAGATATCAGAAGGGGATGGGACCATGTTAATACAAGTGATGAGTGTTCATGGCTGCGGTGGGAGAGGGGACATTAAGACCAGCAAAAACACAAAAAAACAACAGCTGAGGAAGCGAGGCAGCTAGCAGTACATACACAAACACAATCATACGTACATACATACATTGAATAGAACAAAGCAGTTTTGTGTGCATTTGTGTATATGCATGAGGGTCATTTTGTTTGATTTTCACTTGGTATTAGGCAAATGCAGGCTTTGAACAATAATATCTTATTTGCAGATTTTGATTATTGCTACAACAAATGGCAATAAAATATCAACAATTTCTGGCAGCCACAAATGCGCAATATTGATTTTCCTCTCTATTTGTGTAGCAACAACAAAAAATGAACGACGCAAAACAAACACATACATACACAAAACCCCCACACAATAACACACACACACACACACACACACACAGATATACACACTCGCAGTTACATGGACGGACTAAGTGTGAGGTTGGATATGTACTTACGGGCACACGATCGGGGTATTTACGACGGATTTTATCGCCCTCAGCACGTCGCTTCTCAAAGGCGTGATCCTCCTTATATTGGAACTTCATGATTGTTAAATTTATATAGTTTAATAAAAAACGCAGTTTCACTTTTTGCCTAACCAACAACAAAAAAGGAAGCAGTTATATATGTATTGTTTTTCTCTTTCTGTATATGTGCTTTTACAGGTCTGCCACAACTTTTTCCAAATGTTGTCTCTAACCGAACTAAATGCGAAGTGATTTTTTTTTCACTAACAACCAAACTTGTATGAGGGCTTCCGAGCTGCGATGCACAGCGACGGCGTTGCAGCTGCAGGTGTTGGTAAACGTGCGCTAGCATTTAAAAGTTGTACAATCGAACGTATGTATGTACACTTGTCAGCAATGTGTATGCCATTATTACATTTCTCTAAGAACTAAATTTAAGGACTAACCAACGCTGCTGGCACAAAAAAAAATTAATTTAGCTGTAAAATTGTGTACTAATCTGTACAATTCTTGCCTAAGTAAATAGCTATATTCCTGCAAGTTAATTTGGTTTTATTTACATTTGATATACATACATATAACAGCTGTTTTTAGCGGCTGTATATAGCCGTGTGAGCACACTGCTTACGGAAAATACGGTCACACGATTTTTAAAAACAAAATCAACTAGAAAACGAATTTATTTTTGATTATTAGAACAAAATTTTAATTCTACAAATAATTTGACTCCCTCTTTGGTTTGCTTATATTGAACAAGCAAAGTACTCTGAAGTGGTCTTAAGGTTTAAGTTGTAACGCTTTTTTTTTGGTATTCCATTTTGATTTCTCACTATTAAAAAGTTATGGAAATTTTATTTTGCTATTGTTAAAATTAAATTAAATTTAGTACATAAAATTGCTGGTTGATTGCAAGAATACAACTAATAATCAGGTGAACGGACGGCAGTGCTATTTATTCCGTCAGCAGCGACAGAGCTTAAGTTAATATTTTTATATTTTTGCTACTTGAGCAATAGGTTTTCTAATCTACCCCAGTTTCTAATCTAGTATCTTAACGAAACATCTATGCATCTGTTCCCATTTCAAAGGTGTATTTATTTAAACATTCCTGTTAGTTTCCGCACGGGCTTTACAGCACTAATACATTTTGAATGACAACTATTTTGCATACCAATTTGCACTAAAATTGCAACTATTGTGCAAAAATAAAAAGGTGAAATATTTAATTAAATCAAACTTAATTGATTATATAATTATTATGATACTGCTCATATGACGCCGTCAAATGGCATTTGCTATAGTTCCGAGCCGAAGTATAAATTAACGGCGTCAAATCGCCGATAGATTTTGACAGCTGGTGTTTGGTTCTTTTCCTCCGCGTCTTTCTTTTGTAACGCGCACGTCGCAAACACAACACCGAGACCGACAGAATGAAGGTGTGCTGATAAAAATTTAAAAATACTAATATAAATGCTGTTTAAGCCAGGAAATACAGAGAAATTTAACGAGATTGATTATCGCTAAAGTGAATGTGCTGCATATTGCAAAAAAAGCTTAAGTGATGGATCTTAAAATTCACGATAACAATTTTGAAGCAACCAGTATAAGTACATATATGAAACTTTATAATACAGAAAACACTGCTTTTTTTTTTTTTTTTTTTTTTTTTTTTTTTTTTTTTTTTGGATTTAGGTTACTTTGCAGAATTATTTGACCGTCCACGTTGGTTACGAGAAAAACGCCATCACCAATTGTGTTTTTAGTACGATGTTAACATTTAAATATTAGCCTTAATTGTGTTTAGAAATAAAACACTGCTTTGTAATTGCAGCTTAACGTTTCCTATCCCGCTACGGGATGCCAAAAACTGCTCGAAGTCGTCGATGAGCACAAACTCCGTGTGTTCTACGAGAAGCGTATGGGCCAAGTTGTGGACGCTGACATTCTCGGTGATGAATGGAAGGGCTACCAACTTCGCATTGCCGGTGGCAATGACAAGCAGGGCTTCCCAATGAAGCAGGGTGTGTTGACCCATGGTGAGTCGTTATGGTATTAAATTAGCAGACGTATATTTTACCTCATTAATTTATCCATCAGGTCGCGTCCGCCTGCTCTTGAAGAAGGGCCACTCTTGCTATCGTCCACGCCGCACTGGTGAGCGCAAACGCAAATCTGTGCGCGGCTGCATTGTGGATGCCAACATGTCCGTGTTGGCTCTAGTGGTCGTCAAGAAGGGTGAGCAAGATATTGGTGGCCTGACCGACACCACAATCCCACGTCGCCTGGGCCCCAAGAGAGCTAGCAAGATCCGCAAGCTGTACAATTTGAGCAAGGAGGATGATGTATGTCGTTTTGTTGTGCGCCGCCCATTGCCCGCTAAGGATAACAAGAAGGCTACATCGAAGGCTCCCAAGATCCAGCGTCTGATCACCCCAGTTGTCCTGCAAAGGAAACACAGACGCATTGCATTGAAGAAGAAGCGTCAGCAAGCATCCAAGGAGGCTGCCGCCGATTATGCCAAGCTCTTGGTCCAGAGAAAGAAGGAATCTAAGGCCAAGCGCGAGGAGGCGAAACGTCGCCGTTCTGCTTCGATCAGAGAATCGAAGAGCTCTGTCTCCAGCGACAAAAAGTAAAAGTAGAACTTTTATATTAATAACATCAGCATCTACCCAACATTCGTGAAAAACCAACGAACGTTAATGTTCTTAAAAGTGTGTAACCGTTTCTGGTAATAAAAGTGAAAAAAATTGTAAACATATTGTTCTTGTATCTGGCAAGATAATCGGGCTACTAATGTGCTTTTTTTTAATTTTTTTTTAATCTTAAATTTTTATTTAAGATCTGTGCTAGGTTGGACAATTAAATTAAATTGTATGATAACTTGGGCATTTTTTTTAAAATCATGCTTCTGTGATCCGAACAGAGTGCCTGCTCGAGGAATGAAAACAGATTGTGGGATTCCTGATAGTTCATTGAGTATAGCTTGTAAAACTTTTTAACAATTAAAAGGAGGTGTGGTAAACGCCTTAGCACATGGTTCTTGAAAAGCTTGTTGAATCTAAAGACGCGAACTCTGGAGTTCCACTTTCATTCAAGAACCTCCAGAACAGCAATGTTTTCAAACTATTTGCTGCACAACTTTTGTTCAAGAACCTCTGTCTTAACGTTTCAATTTTTGAATATTGTACGAATTTTACAAATTCACTTTGAATTTGCAATTTATATTATGAACCTACTTCCACTAGGATTATATAGTTTCATGACTTATCCGAAGCAATTATCATATGTTAACTAGTATTTCATTGCCTGCGAACGTCTGTTCTCGTGTTTCGCGACTCCAGTGGGGTCGCCATTACATAAAGATACTAAGTAGGTATACATATGTATGTATGTACATACATACATAGTATATATCTGCACTCTTTCTTTTGATGATAGAATCTGTTGAATATTTTGGGCGGTGAATATTTGAGTGGTTTTGACGTTTTACACATAATATTTAATTCATTTGGGTGTGAGTTACATGGATTTACAGTTATTTAGTAGTAGTAATAGGTACACATACATAAATAAAATAAACAATTAGAATGTATAGGGCAGTCAGCGCTAAGGAGTTATAACACCTTCCCGTACCATATACTGATCTGGAAGTTATCTGTTCGATTCTGTTTCAGGTGCCGCTTCGATTGGATTAGTGGGAATAAGAGAAGTTGGTTGCGGCATTGGGTTGGTCGCTGCTGTTGTCGTTTCAGATTCACTACCTGCCGATGGCGTTGCTATTGTTGTGGTCGGCAACTGTTCCTCGTAGCGTGCTATTTTCGCCTCCTGATCGGCCAACAATTCCAGGAGGTCCTCCTGATCCTTTTGCGTCGACTTTAGTGCTTGTGAGGCGTCGTCGGCCCGTTGCTTTTCAGCTTGGAGCTGTTGCCGCAACGTTTCCAGCTCCTTGGTGAGGCGTATATTCTCGGCAAAGTACATGTTGGTCTGGTAGCGTGCCGCGTTCAGTTCTTCCTCATTATTTGTGGTTGTGCCGGGGGCTGGCGTCTGGCCGGTTCCGCTGGTGGCTGCCAAAAGTTGAGCCTTAAGCAGTGTAATCTGATCGGACACTTGCGATTTGAGAGCCTGTTCCTGGCCTAGCTGTTGCTTTATCTCACCATTCTGCTGTTCCAGCTCCTTCACCGATTGCTGCAGTTGCTGTATCTGAGCATCCATGCCTCGTATAATACCCTTGTATTGGGCCACCAGCGCTGATGCCTCCGAACTGAGCGTCAACTCGGTTAACTCAATGCCATCGACATCAAAACCGCTGACCAGCTTGGCAATCAGCGCCTCGAGACCCTTATATAGCTTGCAGTATTCGTAATCAAGCAGCAACTCACCAGCGGATTTGGCACGTATTTGCGCCTGCTTGCAGGCCCGACTGTAGGCCTCGTGTCGCGATACTTCACTCAGTTTGTTGCAGAAGGTCTCCTGGCCAATGCGCTTTATGATTAGCTGACTGATGTCCTCGCGACGCTGATTGGGCAGCGAGTTGTCATTGAACTGTATGCAGAGACCCATGAGAAAGGCGCACATGCCCTGCACCAGATATTCCCGTTCATCGTGTTCATTGGCACACAGTTGGGCGGTCAGATAGGCCATGGTGCCCTGTGTCTCCAGCAGTGCCTTAACCGCGCCCGGACAATGTGCCAGCCAAACGCTCAGCAACATAAGCAGACCCACTTTGCTTTGTAGGCGGTAGCGCTCCTGCTGCATCAAATTGGTGCACTGCTCCAGCAGAGTAATGGGCCTGTGGCCACCGGGAGTAGCGAGGAGGACGCGCAGCAGTTCCTCTTTAAGCGCAACATTATCCACGAGCGTATGCATGATCGCCACAGCTGAGAACCAATTGGCCAAGGTGTCGGATGAGAAGAGGCCGGTGCACAAAAGCTGACCCGTCGACAAGGAGCTGACGTCCGTAGTGCTGGATGGTAGCAGTGTTTGCACCACCGCTCGCTGGCCATCTGGGTTGCGATAGAGAAAGCACTCGAAGCAATAGAGGACAGCGCTGCGCAATGCCAGCAGTTGCTTCTCATTGATCATTGACATGAGCAGGACAACAATAGCGGGACGTGGGGGACTGCTAGGCGCCATCACATGACTAAGTTCGTCCTGATTCTCGTGATCGCCCCGCACCACTTCGGCTACAGCATTGATGGTCTCTGTAAGTATATCCGCAGGCACACCGCTGCTCATTAGGATATCGCAGAGTCCTTGAAGTAGCTGCGATTTTTGCATAACGCGTTGACAGGCGGTCACCACTTGCTGCTGATTACTGGGCGTGACCAAGGCACGCACCACCTGCAGCATGCAATGGAAGTTGGACACCTTTTGTGGTGTCCACCCTGTCTCTTCGACATCGCTGGCTAGCACAAACATGGGGGCCAGGCGCTGAATGTATGAGCCTTCCTTAAAAAATTGTTGATTGCTTGAGTTGTTTTTGAGCAGATTCAGCAATAGAATCAGACAGTCCTCCACCACAATGCCGCCATCGGAGCAGCCCTCGTCGTGGACAATATCAAATAGTCTATCGAACGCATTCTCAAAGGCAACAATTTTCTGTATGTTCGAGTTGCCTTTTGTCAGTTCGATGAGGAGCAGCAGCACATCGTTGCGTATAACCTCACGACTGTCGGTAAGCAGATCCATCAGCTTGGACACGCCCATGGGGCTGACTAGAACCAGTTCCTGCAGTTCTCGCGTCTTATTTGCAATCAGTGAAGTAATTAATTGAATGGCTGCGCGTCGCACCCTAAAATCGTACTCCTCCAGATATCCCATGACAAGGCTAACGTTCTCCGGTGTCTTGATAAACATTTCGGTAAACTGCTCACCCACATTCACGGACACTGTCGGATTGTCCGCCTCTTCATCAAATTCTTCGCTGGTCACAATGTTACAGAGAGTATCTAGCGCATAGCTTATAATCTCAGCGTCCTGCCCGTCATTCTGTAGCACTTGCACCAGTGGTGGCATGCCTTGGGCGCCAACTTCAATGCGATATTTGCGTGACAACGCCTTAAGTGCCCGGCACGCATCCCGACGATCCTCTAGCAGTGTCGATGAGTAGACGCGGTCGACCAGCTTTTCGACAGTTTCGGCAGCGCTCGGCTGCTGTCCAGGCTCCGTGCTGCCCAGCACGGTCTTGATTCCACTCTTCAGGAACTCCATGCACGATGCTTGCTCACACGGTCGTAGGAGTTCGGGTTTTTAGTGAAATACCACTGAAAAAAGTGGCCTATCTGACACGTCAATTTAGAAAAACAATCCAGCCCCTCGTCAGTGTGTACACTCATTCAAAATTATGCACACAGCTGAGGTTGGTATTTTTTAATGTATTCTTGATATTGCAGTATATTTAGCGTGTGGGCACACTTGGCCTCGTGTATTTGTTGTAACTTTTGCAGTTTGTTTATTATGCGTTTGTTTATATGAAATTATAATCGTAATTAATAATTAAACATTAATTGTTATGCGTTCAGCATGAGGACTTAAATTTGTTAATGCAGCACTAATGGGCGCAACAATGAATGCAGCGCTTGCCTGCCCTGGCGCTGCAGCAAGGAGCGGCATTCCTCCTATTCTGCTTTGGCTTCTTTTCGCCATGTTCCTGCAATTGCAGTGCTTTTTTCTTGGTGTGGACGCAGTGTGTCCGAAAATGTGCAATTGCAAGAGCATCTCGGAGAACATTCAAACATTGCGAGTGAGATGTGATGACCAACACATTGTAAATTGGAAGGACCTTGATTTTGGGGATGATGTGCACAATATTGTCAGCATGTAAGTTTTTTTTTAAATTCTTTTTCAATTGCATTATCGCAGAGTTTAACTTATAAACGAATTTCTTAGCAATGCCAGCAAGAATGCAATTACTCATATAGTCGTGGATGATTTTAAGAATTTTACGGAACTAAAGCGTTTGGATCTGTCTTCAAATCTACTAACTGAATTGGACAAAGACACCTTCGGCGATAGTTTGGTGCATGTGGAGCGCTTGAAATTGGCTAACAATTCGATAAGTCACATATACGAAGGCGCCTTCGAGCAGATGCCCAAGCTAAGGCAGCTGTAAGTCATCCATAGATCCACTCCAATCCATTTTATCATACAACCCATTACTTATTTTTCAGTGACTTATCAAACAACCCTTTGGCCTGCGACTGTGGTCTGATTTGGCTGATAGCGTGGTCGAATGCCCGCGATGTTAAACTGCAGCCAGCGCCCAAATGCGATTCGCCTGTCAATTTCCGTGGCATGTCGCTGAAGAAACTCAAGGTGGGCATTGATTTTCGTTGCGAATCGTTGCTGCAGCCGCTACTCGAGCTTGTGCCCAAACAAAATCAGGTAACATTCTGGTTCTCCGAATTAAAATGTGTTTTTTTAACATATATTCTTTGTTTGTTTAATTTAGGTTGCCTTTGAGGGCGATGAACTGCAATTAAAGTGCTATGCGCCTCGAGTTGCGATTGGCGTACCACGCGAATCGGAGGACTTGCCCACACGTGCTTACGTGTTCTGGGGTTGGTCGGACAAAATACGCCAAAACAATTCGACGGAAGACATAATATATCGAGATCCCACCAAAGTTTTCAATGATGTCAGCTTAGAAACGAAGCATTCAACGGATTCGGGCATCCTGAACTCCATTCTGCGCATCGCGAATCTTACGCAAAACCATACGGGCATGTGGGACTGCACACTGCGCTCTCAGCAGGCCAATCTGTCGCAATCAATTGTATTGCATGTAGTGGCTAAAGGGACACTTTACTGTGAGACGATTGTAGTGCGAACCAACAAGGGTGTCTATCATTGGCCACGCACAATGCGTGGCGAGACGGTGGTGCAGGAGTGCGTTGAGGAGCCTACAGATGCATCGTTCCATAGACGAGCGTCGCACGAATGCAGCACCGATGGCCAGTGGCGCAATCTGAATACCGAAAACTGCGTTTATGTTAGCGAAACGACACGCATTTTGGAACAGTTTGCGAAGGTTAATCTAACCTTGACCAAGGGTCAAAATGCTCTGGAAATTGCTCGTCGACTGCACAACTTTACGCACATACAGACGCAGCTGCATAAAATTCGAGATCCCATGGATTTGGAGTTTATAGCACGCACGTTGCTGAAGTATTTGGAGCAACTGGATGGTTATCAGAACGAGATTAGCTACTTGCTGTTGGATATTGTGTCGCAGCTCTTAACGCTGCCCGCCAAATTGTTTTACGATGCTCAGGTGGATCAGTGGACGGGTCTGAAGCTGCTGCACGTTGTCGAAACATCGGCTCTACATATGGCCATGGCGAAAATGAACGCCGAGTCCACAGATCCCACTCCACTAGCCATTTATATGCGGCATACCCAACGAAATATATTCGTGGAGTTCTTTAACATTAGTCTTGATGCGTTTCTGAGCATGTCGTGCGTCTGGCTGGATGCCAGTCAACGGGGATTTCAGTGTAATACGTCGAATGATACGATACCCATGTATGAATATGGTGATATAGATGCGGCCATACAAATACCCTACAATGTGCTCAATGAGCAGCTGAAGGCGAATTCAAGTGCGCAGCGTTCTCTTCGTCTAATGGTCACATTGCATCGAAATGCAAAAATGTTGCCGCATCTCAATCTTCTTTCGAATACAAGCAATGAGTTGCTGCTATCTTCAGCCATCATTGGTGCCAAGCTTTATAGCGGCGAGGGACATTTAATGCCAGCCAGTTACAGCTCCATTGATGAGGTTAGCACGGAACAGAGCACCATGGATGTAGAGGATGTGTATCAAGAGCGTATCACCATTATGCTGCGTGCCCATCCGTATCATAACGATGTTAGCGCCCCGATACCCGCCTGGTGGGACAGTGAGCAGCAAGTGTGGAACGAGCGTGTCTGCCAATCGCATTACCAACATCGTACTCTCCTCATGTTTAGCTGCACTCGCACCGGCTATTTTGGATTACTGCAGCGTGCTGCCTTTCTGAACGACTATCGCAGCGAAGATGCGGGCTCCAGATTCCGGTACACTCCTTCGGGCATTTATGTGGGCTGTGCCGTGCTGTTCCTTTGCGCCTGGTTCAACATTGTCACATTTGTGGTTTTCGGCTATGCCATACGCATCAATCGCGTCCAGCGGCATGCTTTGGTCAACACATGGCTGGCCGTCTCCACACTCTGTTTGGTATTTGCTTTGGGCATTTATCAGACGGCTAATGCACTGCATTGTCGCATCTTTGGACTGCTGATGCACTATTTGAGCCTCTGCGTGCTGTTGTGGGTGTGCGTCAGCCTCAGCACCATGTATAAGCGTCTAACGAAATCGACGGCTCACCAGCACCGCGGTAGCAACGAGCACGGCGAACAGCTGGGCAAGGATGGCTTGGGCTTGGGCAAGCTGGAGCATCGTAAACCCATACTCGGCGTCTATCTGGTCGGTTGGGGCATTGCGCTACTGATCTGTGGCATCAGTAGTGCCGTCAATATGGCCGAATATGCCGCGTATCATTTTTGTTTCCTGCACACGCCCACCACACTGAATGCTCTGCTCGTGCCCGCCATCATTCTACTCATCTTCTGTGGCATACTCTCGCTCTGCATTTACTATCATCTCGGACAGCAGGCAGTGAATGTGTTGCAGCAGCAGGTGAATCAGCGTCAGTATTCGGACAACAATACACAGGCGACGGAGCACATCGATCTGGACTGGTTGGACACGAATGGGACAACAACACGCAACTATCATAGTGCCAAGGATGCGAGCACCAGTGTCCTGCAGATGCAGCACGAACAATACAGTACATTAAGTAATCCCCTGAGCAGCATTGTCGATGATTTTGAGCGCTCCAATATGTCGCATCTACGTGGACATTTTGTCTTTCTAATACTTTACGTGCTCGCATGGCTATCCGCTGCGTTTTATGTGTCCCAGGAGGCAAGTGGAACGGCTCCCGTCCAGTACAATGTCTATGTGCTGAGTTTCGCCGGAAGTTGCTGTGCTTTGGCGCTATTTCTGCTGCTCTTCTACAACCTAACCCGCAACGATGCGCGCCAGGTTTGGTCACAGTATAATGTCTGTGGCAGTGAACATGATCCAAAGATTGCGTATAATAATGCGCACGGACGAGGCGGCAGTGGCAGCGGCGGCAAGCTGTTCAGCTTTGGTGGCAACGCTCCGGGTGGTCCCACTTCAGTCTTGGGTGGTGGTGGCGCAGCCATGATCAGCAACTCCATTGTGGCCTACAAGCCCAGCGGCAGCTGTTACGAGGCCAACAACTCGGCGGGCTCGCGCTCCAACAGCCAATGCTCCAACAAGCAACGCAGCAACAGCGCCCGCAGCATGCGCAGCAATACACGAAGCAATGGACACGACTGTAGCAGCACCACACAACAGCTGCTGGGAGTTGCCAGTGGCGGGGGTGGCGGCCCCTCAATCATGAACAACACAAATCCGCATTTACAGCAACCAACGTCGAGCGCCTCAGCACAATCAACGGCAGCAGCGCACAGTCTGAACGTACTGCTCCATGGTCAGCATGATGCTATACCAAGCGCCGAGATTTTCTACAATCCCAATCAGATAAATGTGGCGCGTAAATTCTTCAAGAAGCAGAAGCGTCTAGCCAAGCGCAACAATTTCGAGCTGCAGCGACAAACGCTGCCCCATCAACAGCAGCTGCACAGCCAACACAATCTGAGCGATGCCTCATCGGGCAGCAATGCGGAGCACATTTATTCGAGGCATCACAATGCCATGACCTTACTGGCGGGGGGCAGCAAAGTAAATAACACAAATATACACTATAAACCGCAACAGCATTACAATGAGGTGGCCACCAAAGAGACCAGTCTCAATCAGTCGGCGGTCGTCGGAGAAAACATGCAATACAAACGATATATGCCGCCGACACACAACTCGAAGATACTGCAGGCGAACATATATACGAATATACCCGAAACGTTGACGCCACAGCATGAGGTGATCAAGTTGCGAACGCCCTCCGTGCTGGATGAGACGCTGCACGAGCACGATGACGAGATGCTGACCCATGACGATGACGATGGCAGCTCCCTCGACGAGCATGCGCCACTTTATGCAAACACCATGCCGCTGACAACTGAAACGAATCACATATTTCAAACGAAGCCCGCCACATCAACGCCAATGAAGTCGCTCAAGGAGCGGGAAAACTTCGCCCAGTTGAACAATAGTCAGACGGCAGCATTGCTGGAGGAGAGCGCCGTTGAGGCAATGAACAGTTTGGGACTGCCAGAGACCCAAAACCTGGACAATGGCATTGGGAATGCTGTGGACGATGATGATGCTGGCGAACGGGAGGGCAGCATTTCACCTGGCTACGATCACAGATCGCCGTTGCTGCAAAAGCATGAGATTTATGTATCCAACTCGCTGCAGGTGACCAACAGTATACGCTTGGATGAGAATTTTCCCAGCGTCCTCATACGCTACACCCAACAACAGCAATCCAAGTCGCTGAACAACATTAGTGACATATTGGCGAACAGTGGAGCTCGGGTGGCTGATGTAAGCGTCACAGAGCAGCGGGGCAGTGCATCACCAATACCTGGAGCAGCTCAGAACGCTTCCTTGCTGCAGGAGCAGCAGCGTCAAATGTATTCGTGCAGCAGCAATAATCTCTCCCAGATACAGGCAGCGCACAATCATCGCAAAAGGCCCACTGCCTTGTACCTGCACTCACCGCTCTCCTCCCTTTCGCTGCTCAAATGCACATCGGCGAAGGATGGCGAAGGGGTGGATGTGGACGTTGAGGCCGATGCGGATGCGGATGGGGATGGGGATGGAGATGGAGCATTTACTTTACCGAACAGTGCACGTCTGTTTTCCTCCAGTCCTACCAACGAGAGTGATCTGAACTATCAGAACTCGGAGATTAGCATACGCAGTCACGGACTCTACGCACCACAGGCTGACAACGATCTCAATCTGACACTCACGGACGATTTCCGTTGTTACCAGTCCTCGAATGCCAGTGAGGCAGATGTCGAGTTTGATGATGAGTTTGTCGGCTATGGAGGCAGCGGCGGCATAATAACAGCGGCCAATGGTGAGGCGCATTATCAGGTTGTCACAAACAATGGGGAGCTGGACGGAGAGAGTGGACATTGCTTGGAAAATATTGATGATGATGATGATGATGCCATAAACACTTCAATTGATGAACTTTACGAGGCCATCAAATGTCGAAGTCCCCTAAAGAATAAGGCGAACACGAATGGTTCGCCGAGTACCTCCGATGGAATCAATAAGACTGATGCATATTCAGTTGCCCCAACAACAACAGCAGCAGCAACAACAGCTATACCACCATCTACATTATCAACAATGAATCCCTTAGGAACAACATCATCAGTTAACCAATCGACGCCCTCCACTGAGCTGAGGGCCAGCACTCACGATAATCTCAATGAGACCGTTGAAGATGACAGCAGTCAGAGCAGTGTCATCTCCTATATCGATCCTAGAGCGAACAACGATAACAGTCCTATCCGTAAATATCCTAGTTAAACATCTATACATCACATGCATACTACATACATATGTACATACATAATACATGTGACCCACTAAATCATCGTATTAATTGTGCTTGGCCGGAAGTTTCCAAGTGCCAATGCCAAAGTATTCCTGTCGTCATAGAGCCTAAGAGTGCATGGTCCATTAACATACATATGTATGTACATACATATATGTATGAATGTACATATGTGTGTATGTATGTGTGTGTGTGTGCTTGTATATTGATAAGTCATTCGCGATGCATCACCCTAAATTATATATATATATATATATATACATATATGTGTGTATCTCATGTAGTTAGGTTTCTATTTATTTTGAGAGTAGAGTTTAAATTTCATTATTTTTTTGTCCACCTCACCATACATAAGAGATTTTCATTGACAAAGAGCAGAAGCTCAAACAAAGAAGGAGATAAGCTATGGTCAGACTGACAAATAATTTACCAACAAATTCTTTGAATTTTAGTTCGTTAATTTAAATCTTATAAGGATTCTATGCTCATATATAGTTTCCAGCAACTACTTTTTAAAAACCCTATAGAAATTTGTGCGCAAACTATTGGCCTGTCTGGGCGTAGCTTTAGTTTCTGCATTTGTTAGACTAATATGTATTCAATAGTTTCATTTTAAAACTGTTAAATTTAAGCTACTTGTCTATTACTAGTATGTACCTTAATATTAAAATCGATTTATTTTACATATGGGATGTACGATATATGCGTCTGATATATGTACATATATGTACTTGTATGTGAATTTGATTGATTAAATAAATTCACAAAATATACATACATACATATGTGTAATGTATTGTCCATTAGTATTATTATTATTATATATCATTATTATTAATATGTGGTACATACATTTTGTATACTTCTTAAATGCGACAACTTATTTTAAGTTATTGCAAAAAAAAAAAACAAAAAGGAATTACATTGAAATGTAATTATTATACACTTGTAGTAATATATATAATTGTGAACTAAATATCTTTGGCATCAGTCCAATCGGTAACAAATATGCTGCGTAGCTTGTACATTAGATAACTGCCCTTCAGTTCCGAGTTGGCTGCTTTCCGACGCTCCTTCACACTACGTTTGTATATCAACCATTCCTTCTTGATGGCCGGATCGCTCGGACCCCATTCGGAGCTCGGTCTGAAGGCCGTCTTAAAGCACTATATGGTGGGCAGACAAATAATATAAACTTTCTTCCACAGTTTAGATGTAAAATATTATTGAATTATTTACCATATAGACACCTTTATCACAATCTCTGGTAACGCTCCATATGGCCCAGAGGGGAAACTGTAGAAATCCAATGGCGAGCAGCACCCAACCAGCAACTATATAGGTATATTCACGAGTATATAGAAATAGCAGATTTAAATCGATTACAGAGCAGTTGGCATACCATTCGCTGACTCTGGATACTCTAGGCCCGCATACTTTAGGGTCTCCAATTCGATCATTGAATAAATGAAAATGAGAAATAGAAACATGGGTGTAATGATGGCCCAACAAATACGCCAAAGACTAGACACGGGGCTCTTTGTCATAAACTCGATATCATCGCAGAAGTTTTGAAGACCTGTAAACAAATACCGTATGAGCTAAAGGATGTTTCCCAATCCGAATGGAACGAAAACGTTTTTTCTCGTCACACAATTTGAGAGCATTGAGAATTTTTCTGTTTATACCATAGATCCAGGAGATGCCAATTATTTGGAAGACAGCCAAGCCGAAAACAACGAAAGTACTGCCATAATAGTCCACTAGATTCAGTATCCATTGGCCAGCCTTTAAAAGTGTACAAATCATTGATTAGTCGTACTTCTCGAAGGCATTGCTTGCGGAAATAACAGATGATACTCAATAATCTACACAGAAAATTGGACAGGCGATTGATTCAATCGATCGCTGATAAGCATAGGCATTAGCATAGCTAGATGTAGATCAATGAAGTACCGGTGTCACGTAAACAATGCCGCTGAGAAATCCGCCAACGGCTATGGCCAATGCAACCGTGGACGCCTTCATCCATTTGTACTGATCACAGAGTATGGCTACCAGTGTGTTTGCCTGAGCCACCAGGGTGCCGATCCCCAACACGAAGAGCATAAAGAAAAACAGTATTGCAAAGAGCTGCGTGCATATATAGAGATAATCAAGATCAAATATCGTAACCCCATCGGAATCAGTCACAAATAAATTACCTGAGGAAAAGCTGTGAACTTTGCAATCGCATCTGGATAGGAAACAAAGGCTAAGCCGGTACTACTACGCACCACCTCGTCAATATTTGTTACCTTCAGATTAAAGGCTAAATTTCCCAGAATGCCAAAGATCGTAATACCGGCGATGAGGCTTGTCAGCGTATCCAAACTGGTAACAATCAGCGTGTCTCTAAAAATGATTTCAAATAAATCCCAAGTGAGTATCTATAGAATATTTAAGTCTCTATGATCAGCAAGTTAAATATACTTGTATTTGAGTCTCTCCTGATAGACAGATATTTATAATTTCATAAACTAAAGTCTTTAGCGGAAGCCAATTGAACAAATTTCAATTAAAAGAGATATTACTCATTATCATGATACGAGACCTTGAACCGAAAGTAATTATAGCACCGAAAGAGAAATGTTTATTTTGGTATATATGGGGCATACAAATAGGAAGTCGCCGTTTTTTTTAAAAAAAAAAAAAGAAAAAAAAATTTCTAGCGGACGCCCTACGTTATTTAATACGTTCCCAACTTGAAATTTTTTTTTCTTTTTCGATCTTAAATGTGTACATTTTAGATTCAAATCTGCGGGAAGTTTTATTTCCCACCTTTAATTCAAAGAAATTCGATGAAGATTCAAGAAGTGAAAGAACGTTAATTCAGGAATGGCTTCAATGCCTTTTAAGCGTAGCGTATAAGTAAATAAATCATCTTAAATACTATATATAAATACTATATATATATATATATATCTTTACCGACCTGCGCACATTGTGATTAAATTTGTTGTACGATGAGAACATTACAAGTGGTCCCAGACCCACCGCCAGAGAGAAGAAACATTGCACGACAGCGGCTTTCCACACCTAAATGGGAAATTTTAACAGCGACTATATGTAGTTATGGATATTTGTACTTACGGAAAAATTCAACAGTTCGCTCCAATTGGGTTTCAAGAAGTATATGATACCATCGATGGCCCCTTCTAGGGTAACAGCTCTAATCAGTAGGGTAATTAGTATGGCATAGGGGAACATGGCTAAGAAATAGGCAGCCTTCCCCGTTGTCTTGATGCCCCTCACAATGATCATGTAAGTGACGACCCAGGCAACGAACAGAGCAACGGTGAGGCGCCAACTCGGCATTCCAATACCCTGGGATAGATCTTCGATCTCATGAATAACAGTTTTGCTGTTTAAAGAAATAATGGATTAAAAAATAATGTCTTAAGCCTATAAGCATAGCTGATGGGGGATATTCTCCTTAGAGATGTTGCTAAGTCAACAAAAATGTACGGAAACTATAGACAAAAGAGTCAGAATGGAACAGCAGTGAAAAAGGTCTTAATATCTGTATTTTCCTTAAACTACCGACAGGAAATTTCCATATTCCTATAAATTTCTCTTCCAAACTAAAATGCAAACAAAAAGTTATTAGAACTTCCATCTGAGCTTTTATTAATGATTACGCAAATGAAGGACAGCAGGGTCGTGATACGAGAGATCTAGACAATAGAATTTTATACGCTGATTAAACATCATTTTACCCACAAAGCAACAACCATTTGTCTAAAGCTAAAATGTTATCAAAGCATTTAGCGCCAGACTGATGCTTATCGTAATTTTGTCTATACGCAGAGTTCTTTACCCTCAAATAATGTGTATGTGTGTGTGTGTGTGTGATAATAAAACAAGAGAGAACGCTACAGTCGAGCAAGCCCGACAGTGAAATACCCTGTACCTAGGTAAACTTCCTACATTGAGGTATATGCGCCCATAGCATCAGCAAAAAGAGGAAGAAGAAGACAGTAGATAATTATATATTAATTATGTGTGCAAAGTTTGGTTTAGGCAGCATTTGAAATTTGGACGCTATTGACGAAATTCTGCAGCGGGGGGAAGGGGGGGGAAATTAAAAAAAAAACAAAACTCGTCCTTTCTCGGACCTAGGAGAATCTGGATGCCAACTTTGGTTATTCTAGCTTTTATAGTTTCTGAGATCCTTGCGTTCATCCAGACGGACAGACGGACGGGCGGACATGTCTAGATCGATTTCTCTCGTCATGCTGATTCAGAATATATATGGGGTCGGAGATTCTTCCTTCTGCATGTTACATACTTTGCACAAACCTAATATACCCTTTTTACCCTACGGGTACAGGGTATAAAAAAACATCCCCCTCTAATGTGGCGAAATACTGAAATGATCCGTACTTACAGAAAATATAGCTCCGAACTACTCTGCAACTTGATATCGTTTCTAGTCTGATTGAAATTGGGTAAAGAGTCCACACAATTGGGACCCCATTCTCGGCGACAATAGGACCAGGGCAGGACCGGTTGAAACGAGGCGACCAAATAAAAAAGGGTCAGAGCCAATAGGGATGAGTAATACGTGAGTACAGCGATGCCGGCATAGGCCTGACCTATGCCCACACCTGCGAGCAAACATATCAATATTATTTGTTACCCATTAAGTTTAAATCAATTGGTGTCTGAGAGAGAGTAATTACCAATAAACGCGGGACAGACAGACCAGATTTTGACCGAACTCTTACTGGTAAATTGACCCATGAGCACTTCCAAATAGTACATTGGCTTGCCTATAAATAAATCAATATGAAAATAACACAGACCGATCACACCGAATGGTCAACGCGTCGTTGGAATCAATTTGACATGATTGGAATCAATTAAATATGATTAATAGCGCCATAGCATACCAATCAAGAGGAGAACAACAACGTAGGGAATAATGAAGGCGCCGCCACCATTTTCATATGCTGTGAATGGGAAACGCCAGATATTGCCCAAACCGACCGACACCGATATGCATGACATGAGAAACTCTACGCTGTTGGCCCAGTTTTCGCGATTCTTCACCTCCAACGGTTCGGATACCGACTCGAAGGACGGCTGATATAGCTGACCCTGCAGCATCCTGGGCGAGTCTTCCGTTCGGCGATCATCAATAATATTGACAAATATAGTCGCTGATTTCGTTCTGGTCGCGTTTGTATCGCCGCCCTCCATATCGTGGGTTTTGTGTGCCTTTTTGAGCAGCTTATGTAAAAATATTTGGCGGATATGCAAAAGAAGAGGCCGTGCAAGATCGTGCGAGATCGTGCCAGATCGTGCCCTTCAACACAACAACCACAACCGCCACAAACACGCTCACACACACAGAGAGGCACAAAGGTTGTTAGGTTGGTTCTCCCACAAAACCCACTAGCGATCGCGAATTTTAATTTTAAACTTCTGTCAAACGGCAATCATTTTTAATGCTCTAGGTCTACTCCTAACGATTCCCCAACAACGACTGAGCGCATTGAGGCACTGAGGCGATTTGCCAGAAGACGAAGACGATATAAACAATACAAGAGCTTTTTCAATCCGCAAAATGTCTGCAGACGCCAATTGGTTCAATTTCAATGCTGCTGCTGCTGCTGCTGCTGCCGTTGTCAAACGACCGATGTGTACTATATATCCGCATGTGTACATACAGAGATATGTACATATGTATGGTTGCTTACTCTCAGGCTATCTATCTATCTATCCACCTATCTATGTATCTTTGTATCTGTGGGGTGTGGGTGCAAATGCATTTGCCATGGCCGCCAGTTGTCCCTCTATCTGGCCCAAAAGTGCTGCCTTTTTTGTTGTCGTCATTATCATCATTGTCTTTGCCATTGCCATTGCCTTTAAGGTCTCCATTTTCTTTTACATACACACACCTGGTTCAAATAATAGGCACATCCCAATAGACTCCTTCCTTAATCAAAAACAGCGAACTTTTACGATCGATTTAAATCAAAACTAAAGCATAGCATAACATAAATATATAGATAAGAGTGGTATTTCCTGATTATTAATCACAGTTGACGGAATTACAATTTTGTACAATTTTAAAAAGTGGATTAATTATATACTTAAAATTCCAAAAAAAAAAAAATGCAATACATTGGCAAGGATTTTGATTTAAAAAGGAAATCAATATAATTATGAAACTAGTCATCCTCTTGATGTAATTGAGAATAGCCTTCTGCTTGATTAATTACAAATCAATATCAGTATCAGGAATTCCATTTATTACTTTTATAATTCGCTTCGTGTTCGATTCAGTTAAGAAAGAATAACAGAAGCTGAAGAATAATGCATTCAATATTTCCTCAGTTGATTATACTCTTGTATTCCTGTAAACAAAATTATCATTAAACACCTAATGAATACCAAACTTTAATATAGCGATAAGCAAAAAGGAATACTATTAATAATATATGTATGTAATAAACTTGGATTTCGTATATAAACGGAAAGTGTATAGGCCAAGATTAGTGTTCCTACCTGTTACAAGTTTTCAAAGGCAGGTCTTCAATTTTTTTTTTTGTAAATTTTGGCAATGTAATATGCTGTCGTTAAAATAGAGAATTATTAATTTAATTGAATGATCTTCATTTTTTGTTTGTAAATTTTGCCAATGAAATATGCTGTCGTCGTTGATTTATTTGTTAGTTAAAATAGAGAATTATTAATTTAATTGAACGAAGAAACCAGCACTGTACTTACTTAAAATACAGCATTTATTTGTTAACCATTGCTTTAAAAAAAATGATCGTAATAGACCGTCCTTTCTCTATTTTTTAAATTTTGTTTTAAAAATATAAAAGTGATTTATTTAGGCTTCAACTACTGCGCCCTCCACTTACGAATTCGTCCACCATCCTTAGGGGGTGTATCTAATATGTTGATCGAAGGTGTACTCACAGAGTGTTTGTGTAAATGTGGCTGGGGCCGGTCGCGATTTTGTGCTCGCGTCATTGTCGCAGACTCGTGGCCACAAATTACCCCCAGACTGTGTTTTTAATTGGCCCAGTTAAGGTCTATGCCTTGTTAATACAGATAAGTCGCACGCTCGCCACAGAGATTTTCTTTTTAGCAGCTTACCGTGCAAGGAATTATTACTAATTTAGCGGTTATCAAGATGCACAAGCGTTGAAATAAATTCGTACGTTTTTTTTTTTTAATATTATTTTTGTTTTATTTGTTGAGATTTGCTTTAGTTGTAAAACAAACTTTGTATGCGTCTAGAGAGCAACTTAATTTGTATGCATGTATGTATGTATCAACCTATGTGTGTTTGTAAATGCGTGATATGTTAGCCGTTTTATTATACACATACATACATACATACATGGATGCCCCTTAGATACGCAAGCTAATAAAGTACAATATATTGGATATTTGTATTAAATATACATATATGGGGGGAAAAACATGAACACATTCAACAGCTACTTGTAAAGTAGATACTTACAATGGTAAGACATTCGTTAGTTTTGTCATAAGAACCAATAATAATGATTGTACGATTCTATGAAGTTAATGGTTTACTAAGTATTTAACATTTATGAACGAACAATATAAATATGTGTATTAATAGCATATTACTTGCATGCGTTGGTTTTTGTTTTCAATGTTTGTAAAAGCTTTACTCTGAACGAAATGTTGTTGTTATTAAAGTATTGAAAACAGTATTATTCCTAGTGATACCATTCACATATGCATATATAAAGGTATATATGTATATGTAGATGTATGGTTGTATATAAGGTAGGTGTATATAAATATGTTAACAATTACTTTCAATTACATTATAATACGATATTGCGATATTGCTGTTGCGCGTAAATCTTGCATGGAAACTATGCTTGCAGTTGCTAATTACTGTGCGTGTTTAGATACGAAATAACATCTTTTCGATCGGTCAGATCATATGTAAAACCAATGATCTGCCAACTCCTATATACTGCGTATGGACTTCCAGCGACGCAATAAAATGCACGATGAGGTCAACCCACTGGAGTATTGGCTAAATTCGCTAATATTTATATTACGTGATGGAATGTCGATTTTGTCTTTTAAAGTCTGCAATCGAAAGTGTTTTGATTATTATTTTCAAAATAGTTTCTTTTTATCAAAATATGTGCATACACACCTTGTATGCCTCTGGAATTTCTTGTGGCGATCTGTGGACAATAGTACCATTTATATACAACATATTCGCCGCACTCTCCTCTGGCAATGTGAGTTTTTGATACGTAAAGCTAGCTTCCCGCTCCATTCGTTTCACAATTTCCTGACAAGTGGGGCTTGTGCTGACACACAGGACATCGGGCCCCGCCATAGTTACATAGTATTTCAGACGTTTTGTGCCATTAACCTGGAATTCCACATAATGCTATATAAATATTTATATCAGTGCATATATCTGTAACCACCTACCCGGATTGGTGTCACTGGATATTCGGGATAGGCCATTGCAACCGCTCGAGCGCCTTCTTCATTCGTAAATGCAGAAATTCCAATGAAAAACTCGTGTCCTAAAACATATTTTGGGATGTGTTTATTGATTTTTGTAGGCGAAATATAATTTACCCGTGAATAGGACATCGCCACCATCTAATTGGGCATGGGGATCATCGATTTCTATAACAGGTATATCCAGTTCCTTTTTCAATATAATTGCCATACTCTCCGCTTCGCGTTGCCGTTTTATATTTTCAGATCGGCCAATAAGCGCAACACCGTTACAAACGATGGCGCTGCTCTCGACAAAGACACCTTCAGGCAGGGCATCATCCGGTGGAAGCTCAATGACATCAAGACCGATTTCTCTCAATAATGTGCAATACTGTTCGTGTTGCTGTTTAGCCAATTTTATATCAAAATTGCCGTTCTCTTGCAGTGAATTCGATATTCTGAAAGTTAAAATTTGCTTTAAAAATTTAATTCGGTTTTAAACACATTGTAGTGTTTGTGTAAATAGTTTATATGATATATGTTTGTACATATGTACGTATACAGTTTGCAAACATAAATACACACATACATATATACAAATGTATAAAAATACATATGACTGTCAGTGTGCCACTCATGACTTGAACTTGAACTCGAATTCCGAACGAACAACAATAGTGAAATTGTTGTGCGATGATGATAGCATTTTAAATTAATTGAATAAGCCGCACTCCAAATTAGGTGTGGGTGTCAGCCAAATGCCGCCCCACCCAACCATAAACATGACCTAATTTGCTCGGCTTAAGGTGCTCCTTAAATCTATGCTACACCCCTCCGCTCACCTGGCGACAATTGCGTGGGTGTATTTGGGCGACATTTTACGTTGGGCTCAACTTTGCTGTTCGCTCGTTTCTGTTTATGCAGCCACAAGGGAAAGCTCCGCCTCAAAAACGGACTAGTTTCCCCCCCAAACCCAACAATAATACAAATTCTGCTATGTTACATTAACTCGATAGGTTTGTTTGTTTTCGATAAATATCTATACTAAAAAATACCAGCCGTTAACGGGATGCATTGGCAGCACTGGCAGGCCCCTAACAAGCAAAAAGATTCACCATATTCGAGGCGCCGACGTTTATATACTCTTGTAAATATTCCTTCCTCACTGTTCTATGTATTATATACAATTTCTACTTCAACAATTTAAACAGATGGTTAATAAGTAGAGCAGAAGTCCGATAAATATTTTACTCCCGATCCGCTGCCACTTTAAGAACTTATAAAATACGTTTCGTTTTCATTATTACACAAACGTTTATTTTACAATATTTTATAATTAAGATTTGACTTGGGTTTCTTCTGGAAGGGAATAAATGTACAAACACATGTATATCATACACAGATTGATATATTGAAAATCTAAATTTGAAAAATGAGGGACGCTTAAAATTTGGCTACGCAGAGGCAGAAGCTATCAAAGGTTCACCACATTCTTCAGATCAATTGGCAGAAGACTCTTCATGCATTCGATTTTCTCCTTTATCTGTTCTTGTGTACAATTGCTGCTGCCCCAGGATAAGCCTTCAATTTGTGATTTATCACTGTAGAGATTCAGTTTTTGTTTTAGTTTGAGTATCATATCAATTATTTCAACCTCTTGTTTGTCTTGGGCCCAGTGTTCGAGGTTCGCCTTCGACAGAGCTTGTAGCTGCAGGTCCTGAAGTGTTAGCTGTAGATCCCGATGTCTTGGTTCGTACCAGCCACGAAAGTTGGGTGATGTGAAAAATCGTTTATACAGGCCCTTCCAATCACCCTTCACTGGTGATGTTAGCTGCGGTCCAGATAGTTCCAATGTGTTTAGGAAATCATCTAGTTTAAAAGAGCTTGCGTTTGGCGCCGATTTAAACGGACTTATATCCTTTTTTAGCGGCATAAGTGAGCCCATATACCGCTCTAATGGTATCATAAAGCTTTGTGTCAACTCCAACAGGTGCCGTCTGATGAGCGCAGTTTGAACATGCTCGGGTCTTTTCGTTTTCATGCCCAACATAACCTTCTTGATGAGCGATTTATCCTTTTTTAAAAACGGCTTGTATTTTGTATGCAGACCAAAAGTGTTGCTGTCCGCAGCTGCCATGCCGCCATTCAAAATATTGTGACTAAGCGGACCTTGATTAGCTTTCAGGGCTCTGTTGCTGGTACCACTTGAGCTGGAGAAGGAAGTAGCTGAGCTCGAATTCCGTGAGTTCTTATGGAAAAACTGGTGTTGCTGCATATTTTTCTAAAATAAAAACTTTACTTTTAGTTTCAATGCAATCAGTTAACATTATTGGGTTACCTGATTATCCACCAAGCGCAGCATATGCGGCCAGTCCTTTAGTAGTTTCACAAAAAAAGGATTCGTGACGCCGAGTATAACAGATGGTATGGGTCTATTGGAGCATTCTTGTGTAAATTCTTTGAATTCGCTGTCATGTATAGTGAAATAGGGACGCGCCTCGGCGCAGTATTCCAAAGGCGCGATTAGCGCAATGAGAGTCTGCACCATGTGCGAGCAGTCGGCGGGAGAGGTGCCAACGACAACAATTGGCTCGGCAGTGATTACGAGCTCCCACAATGTGTACAGATTCTCAACGACAAAGCCGAGACTGCGGAACAGTTCGATTTCATTTGCAGAGATTATTTTGGCAGGAGTTTCAGCATTGCAGGGAGCAGCGTATGGCGCTTCGTTGGCACTGGACTCCGTCAACGCGCTCGACTTCCGACTGCTGGCTTTCGGTATTGATATCTGATAACTTGACTCCAGCAATGGCAGATTGAGCGGCACCCCCACACGTAGCGTGGGCCACTGGGCGTTTATTTGGTCACAAGCTCGTTTTAACACATCGGTGCCTTCCTCAAAAAATCTTGGGGCCAGCTGGGCAAGCACGTCGTAATAGAGATTGAAGAATGGAAGACGCGTTATAATGATGAAGCTCTTCTGAAAATAGCCGCGTGGCAAGTTGGGGTCACGTTTCTGGCGAAAGTACACGAATCCCCAATAATGTGAGCTGTCGCAACGCATTGCTGGAGCGCAGTCCTCATTGTACATAAGCAAAGATGGTGACATATTTTGCTTTACATTCGGAAGAGCTCTCAAACGCATATGGAACTTGGTGTCGCCCATGCAACCTGAATTGGAGTCGGGAAAGGCCATATAGCAGATGTTGCTCACTTCCTGATCGGAGGGCATAAACTCTGGCGGATACACATACTCCAGCGCTTGGCCCAAGTTTAGGTCGAATGTGACAACACAAAAACAATGCATCCATTGTGATAATTGAATCCAATCATTGCACGACCCGTTCGATTCCTCCGCCTCTGTATCCGATTCTCTTACATCGCTGGCTCTTTCCCCATGCTTCCCATTTTTTCCATAGTCCTTTAACTTTGAGTCAATGTTCATTATGTTTATGTTTTGATATAAACATACTTTCACTTTAATGTTGCTGCAAGTCCAATTCCCCAAAGGTGGCCATAGTTAATTTAACAAAAAATACCGAAACAACAAGTGACCCGAAAAATACCAACTGCGCACAATGCGAAAGAACCAAATGTTGATTTCTGTCTTCAAATTTAGTTACGTTTAGTACACGTTATAACGGCTAGAAATTTAATTTTATAATTCTCTACTTTAGGCTTTTGTTACAACATTTTTTTATAGATATTGCAAAGTCTTTTGGTTTTGAATAGAAGAAATCCAAGTTGGAGAAAATCATTGAAGGCTGTATACTTTGAGAAAACTATTCTATTTACGATTTTCGTACTCATAATGGATAACCCAAAAATCGGGTTCAAAATAAGGGCAGAAGGGCCTGGAACTCGAGCTTTCCTTTAAAATATTACAAAATTAGACATTTGTATAAAAACGAAAGTTTTCCACACCAGAGCTAGTTGCAAAAAACACGATGTGTTCGTTGTTACAGACCTCTAAAGGTTGGCAGGGAAGGATGATAACTTCACATACACGTGATATAATATTAATGGTCTTTATTCATTTTTACAACTGACTTATATGCTACCAACAACAAGAAAATGTACTGCATAAAATAAGCTCTGAGCCATGCATATATAAATGTTAAATAATTGGATTAAATAAAAAAAGATTGAGTATTAAATTATATTTGTTTTACTGGTAACTATTGTCAACAATGACTTCAATAAGATGTCTGGAGTAAATAGACATTGCGAAGTTAAGATGCATTACTGTGATAAATAATAAGACAAGCAATATCGAGTTGTGATGTGTTAGGTTTTAAAGCACTTGGGCTAGAGGTATGGCTCCCAGCCGTTGTACATCGCGCCCAGATTGTTCGGAAACGTGGCTTCATTGATTAGACGCTGAACCTGCACTTCTACGGTCGAGCTACCAAGAACTCCAGAGTCGTTGCCCTCTAACTTCTTTTGTACAACCATGAGTGAGCGTTGGGCAAATAAATTTGTAGTTTCACCTGAAACTATAAAAAAATATATCTTCAGTATAGGACGATTAGCGATCAAATATATAGTTGTACTTACCCTGATTCTGATTTTTCAATACACCCCAAATGAATAAGGGATCGTGCAGTAATACTTCCAATAAAGTTGTTATAATCGATTTATAACGCCTTAGAATGTGTAGAGTTGCCTCGCAAGATTTCGTAAAAACGCCATTGGTCCCACAAACGCCCATGGCGGCCACAAAGTCGCGCGTTAAACGGAAAGGAACCTGCTCTGGCGTACGTAGAATTTTTCCCTGCTCAAATGCAATACCTGAAGTAATGAAAAATTTACGGTTATAATGAGAACAAGGCTTCTAAATACCCTGTATCCATATTTCTGCTAATTAAAAAATATATATGGAGGTACTGATTTTGATGAAACCTTTCATTTTGTCGAAACATGATTGATTTTTTTACTGTGCGGATGTAATGCAGAACAACTTTATGAATCATCGGAAGAACACTATTTAAAACGAATTAGTACTAAATTTCTAAGCAATATAAAACACAAACAAAATATATATAAATTGTTTACAATATCAGGATAAACAAAAAATATATTGTTCTAATAGAGAGTTTAGCACCGATCGGTCCTATGGTATTACATATGTAAAATGATGTAACTATATATGTAATAAGCTTAGTCTGTGTATGGATAGCCCTAACTATTACGCTTTAAAAGCTATCGGTGTTCATACAGACAGACAGATAAATAGCTCTGTATAGGTTTGTCTCCCTTTGCTTCCTACATATAATTGGCGCTAAAACATTCACCTTTCAGACACAGGATATGAAAAAGTGTTAAGGGCTTGGTTGGTAAAATAGTTTCAACTTACCAAAGTCAATGTGCACCACTTCGGCGGTGGATTGGTCGAGCAGTATATTCTGTAGATGTCTGTCGCCCAATCCTAATATATAACCCACCATAGATGTTGTAGCCACGCTGTTCGTAAATGCCAGACGCTTCTCGAACCATATGCCAGGTACGTGAAACTTCTCGAAGAAGAAATATTGAAAAACTGGTTTGATCTTTTCCGTAAGCTGTTTGTAGATTTCAACTCGCCTCTCCACAGGCTCGCTTTCGACTGTCTGCCAAGGGTTAAATATTTTGCTTTGTATTTGAACTTATTAAGTAATTAGCACTTACTTTAAATTGGTGGCGACACTTTACGGGGGCCCAGTCCTGTGGACGATAACGTTGATGAGCACCCGCATTTTTGCCATCGCCTTGTAAGTACATTCCCATTGGAATCGTATTCTCACACCACTCCAAAATTCCGCTACGAGCCGATAGAGGCGTTATTTTATAGGTTCGCAATCGTAACTTTCGTTCAATAAACTCAGGTTCTTTGTTGATCAGATCATTGATAGAGTGAAAGACTTGTTGCATAATGGCATCCTGCCGCAAGTCATCCTTCCCCTTTAGTAGCTGGGCACGGGTTTTACCATCAGAGCAAAGGCACATTAATTTCTTCGGTGCATTTAGGCCACCAACCATACGAAAATCGGGCTCCCACCTGACAATGGCTGCCAATGAGAAAGGATGTGGTTCCGTTTTATTATAACTATAATACAGTTATTGGCACTTACTTATAATGTTGTATTGCATATTTGGCGACACATCAAGCTCTATTGTGGGGCAGTGTATGTCAAGATTACGTATTCGTAGCAATTTCTTGCTTATCGGCAATTTGGCGACTCTATTATTTCGCGGTACTTCCTCGTTGGCGAACTCAATAAGTGCTGGAAACATAGGTATTATCATGGCTTTGTATAAAAGAAAATGTATATTAGGATTGGACCTACATGGAAAGAGCATATTCAAGTCTCGGCTACAATTAATGGCCTCCTGATCTGTTACTCGACCAATTATCCGTTTCGCTATTTTCGGACGTTCGCTCGTGCTGGCAGAACTATTGTCTTGATCGGCATAGACCAATGCATATAGATGGTTCAGGGAATGATGGGGATGTTCTTGAGCGCAGCGCACCAGAAGTTCAATTAGTATGTCTAAGAACTCCGAGTTCTGGGAATTAAGATGGGCACATAGTTGATTGAAGACGGAAATAAACTTATAGCTAGGCACTGATTGTATTGAATCTTTTATCATATTGTTTAGAGCCGTATTGCTCTTATTGGGCAGCCACAGCGCAATAATTCGGTTAACTGCGTCACTCGAGAATGATTCATCGTGCTGGCAGAATGCTATATAATTAGTAACTGCTGTACACAAATGCTCTGTATGATTTGCCTGCATCAATTTCAATCCATTTTCATCCATGGTGGCAAAACGTTTGGCATTCATGGCCCCCAATTGTTTATCTTTGTTCTCCCGATGTCCTACGGTTGCAGCCATCTCCCGATTCTTCTGTATAATCTTACAGAGGGTCGAGTACTCATCGGACTTCAAATAAGCATCTAGTCGCTGATATTCGAAATCAGCGTATTTCGCAATAGAGGCATAGGCACTCTTTCGATTATCCCTAATGTACGCATCAAATGCATCCGTTCTGTACAGAGCCGGATATTTGTCGAAAAGTTGCATTTTCTTTGCCTCAAAGTCTCCAAGTGATTTCAATGAGGCATTAAATGAATCATCTAGCGTTGATTTAAAGCTCTGAGCATTCGAATTCATCAGAAATTCGCCACGCATGCGCAAGGCACCACAACGTTCCAGACAGTACATGAAATCCTTATTCGTTACCGTATTTTTGAGTATGGCATCGGCAATTTGTTGATTTCCCGTTTTTATAAACACGTCGGCATCTTCCAGAAGGACGCTGATCTAAATATGTCGTTTTATTTTCTTTGCGCCAATACAAAATATAGTTTAAGGTGAAACTTACTTGTGTTGCAGCATTTAGTTCCGGCATTTTGCGTAGTTTTGCAATATTTTTCCTCGCCAGGTTTAGTTTGCCAGCTTTCTTGCACTCGGTAATGGTCTTAAGCAAGTATGTATCAATGGGGCTTTTCTGATAATTATTCAAATATTTAAGTTTTATAAGTTAGAATTGTTTTTATTATTGACTGTGCGGTTTTTTTTTCAATCACCTTATAGAATTGCTGAGCTCTTCGATTGGCACGTGTGCCACCCATCTGGAAAAGTGCAATTTGATGTGAAAGTGTGTATTCCTTACAAGAAAAGTTTCCATATTTCAAGTTCAATTCAACTTGCCACTTTTCGAATATATCGGTCAATGCCACTTGTTGCGAAAATTGTACCTGCAAATTAAAAAAAAGTTATATTAGCATTATTTTATAAAAAACATTAATATTTTAACAATCTATGGCTTATAAATAAAACTTAAGTGAAGCCACTTTTCAGCACTAATTGTCAATGTATTTGTATAATTTGTTCAAATCAATCAGCGCCCTTCTTTGCGCTTCTCATACGAAGCACGTAAGTATCATCTACCTAACTATTAATATAAATTAAATAAGCTTATTTTTACGAATTAATTAAAAACAGTGCACTTCTCATGCGAAGCACTTAACCGAAGACGTTCATTATTATTAATTTAATTGTATTTAAAGGCACAGAAATGATTAGACTGATGGACTCTCTCTCAACTCTACTTGCCTGGCAGAAATCTTCAGCTTGTTGTAACGTCGCTAGCCAGGACAAATATTTGTAAACACTTTGCAAAGATTCCACACTGATGTCACGCAAAATGGCCAAAACACACTGATATGCATTGGCAATCGCCGATATGCTATTCTCCTCTTCGCGATTTCTGATGCTTTTTAATGCCACATAATGATGCTTCTTAAACTCATGCTCCATGTTGACTGCCGCCATATTCACATTCAGATTTCCCTCGATCGGCTCATCCCATTGCATTAAACGCCAGAGACCTTCATAGTTGACATTTTTGGAGCAGCGTTGCTCTAATTTTGCAAACAATTCCTCCATCCCATTACGTTTCAACATTTCCATGCAGAGGTCAGAATTGCGCATTTCAAAATCGTCAAGCTCTAACAAAATATCCGACCAGCTGTTGTTCAGATTAAGGAATTCAACACGTGAAACGAACGGATCCATAAAGCCGGCAATTGCTTCAGTACAGCCAATCGATTCATAGGCCTGTTTAAAACATTAAAAAACGCACCAATGATTCAAATCAATATAAGCAATTTCATATTGCTTACTTTTTTGGCAGCACTTTGAAACTCCTGTGTCTGTATCGCATTGCTATCCGACCATCCCCAAAGTTCCAGATACATAATGCTCAGAAAATAGGCTTGACAATGATTGCTAGCCTTGATTACATTACAAATATTGATGGGAAGACTCCTGCATGAAAGAGAGCATAGTTCGAGAGAGACAGCAAGTGCATGTATCCTTTTCTTATTCATGATAACTCATAAAACATAATACACACCATTGGTTTACAACTCGTATGCATTCGCACATACTTAGGAACATTTTGATGGCACGCTTTTCATGAAAGATCCCTTTGCTACCAGTCCTGCAGAATTGCTCAAAAAAGTAATCCAACATTGTGCTTAATGTCTCCAAATGCATATCCTTGTCCGCCAGCAATAGTTTGACAAACGGTTGCAAGCACGCTTCCGCAAAACTGAACGATTTTTCCGCAAACAAATCAAAGCCATGCCATCCGCAATTTTTAAACACAGCGGCCATGAACGCACAAATCCATTCCTCGTATTCGAAATTTTCAGTTGATTGCAGCACAAGAAGCCAGTCGATAATTGGTATTTGAGTATTTAGATAATATTGTTGATTTGATTTGACCACAAATACGCTAAAATTTGGATGTGCTCCTACATTACAAAGATGTGATTACTTTAATGTTACAATTTATGGTCTCTCGAAGGCTTTACCAATTAACTTCAGGCCAATTTTACTGTTGGCGACTTGACGTGCGACGTTAACGAAAGCTGCATGTGTGCTGGGATTAAAATTAAACAATTGTTTCTCCAAAGTTTCGTAAAGCACAGTCACAAATTGATGATTTCGATCATCATCGCCCTGAATTAAAAGAAATACATATGTATGTATCAAATTTTTTTTATCAATATGAGATCACCTACCTCTTCAAATGAGTCAAAGTCCGTTTGAAAATAATACGAGACATGCTTCATTTCCAAGGGTCCCAGCTCCGCCAGACATTTCAACGCATCGATGCTGCTTTGACGTTTGGTGGCAGTTCGCAAAATTTTAATCAGTCGATCAAATAGTTGAAAAAGTAAGGTCGAATTTTTTTGCAGTTCATTTTTGTGCTTTGCAATCTATAAGGTATCAGGAAAATATTTACTTGTGAATTATATAAACAGTTTGGAATTTATACACAATGCTAAATGCTGTAAGTGAGCAAGTATTGGAAAATTCAAACCCCAAAGGAGTTAAAATGGGCTTCAAAGTTTGCCTTAAGCAAATAAAATTTTATATTCTGATTTATTGCAACTGTAACTTTCTTTAAAATAAATCAACCAATAATATATTATTAAAGGAGTGTTTGGATATACGAAAAAAAAATTATTCCCTTTTAAAATTAAAGTTGTTCAATAAAATAATTGTTGATATAGATATTATATGTGGATATGTAGTGGATGAAATTGTAGACAGTATTGCCGAAATTTTTTAGCTAAATAAGTTGGAAAATATAAACATATAGTATGCACTTACATATGTCCGTAAAGTACGCAAACGTTCTAAGTGAGCAAGTATTGGAAAATTCAAACCCCAAAGGAGTTAAAATGGGCTTCAAAGTTTGCCTTAAGCAAATAAAATTTTATATTCTGATTTATTGCAACTGTAACTTTCTTTAAAATAAATCAACCAATAATATATTATTAAAGGAGTGTTTGGATATACGAAAAAAAAAATTATTCCCTTTTAAAATTAAAGTTGTTCGATAAAATAATTGTTGATATAGATATTATATGTGGATATGTAGTGGATGAAATTGTAGACAGTATTGCCGAAATTTTTTAGCTAAATAAGTTGGAAAATATAAACATATAGTATGCACTTACATATGTCCGTAAAGTACGCAAACGTTCTACGCGATAATTCTGCAGAAACTCATTTATAAATGCCTCGACATCATCCTGATCTATCGTTGAACTGTTGCCGTCACAATATTTGTGCAGAGAACTGGGAATTTCATTTTTCGGATATTCATCGAGTAATGAGCCTGCATCGATCAGATTCTCATTGGTTTCAATTAAAGCCTTTAGTATAGCAACTGCTTGCATTTTCATTTCGTTCCCTTTAATATGGAACACACATTGCAGAAATAACTTTGCGATTTCGTTCAATCGTTTCTGCAACTTTTCAAAGTTTACAAAGTCGCAAGTCAAAATGAGACTAAAATATTGTAATGCCGCCTTTTGAACCACACAGCAATTTGCTGAAAGCGATTAGTTACATAATTATAAGGTTTACAAGCATACAAAGTTTAACTTACTGTGCAGGATAAAGTTGGGAATAAAAAACAATATATCGCATACAAAGAAGTCGCACAAAATATTGTTCTTGCCCGTATCCTGAAGGATGTGACAGAATTTTAGGACATGCTCAGCTATGGCACAGTACAAAAAGAAATTTTGCAGATTGTGCATTGGGAAGACGGAATCATAGCATTTGGTCTTTAAAACTCCTAACAATGTGATCAGAGTTATCGGCTGTTTGGTAATCAGATGGCGGAAGGCTGCTTCGGAGTTCAACATTCCCATGTTCTTGTTTATTCCGTCAAGCTGTGATGGGACAACAATATGCATTATTTGTGCAGAAATCGTTGTATATATTCTTATACTCACAATATGATTTGTAAAGCAGTTGAAAAGAGAATCGCTTTTTAAATTATACCATTCCGGTTTTTTATTACAATATACAAAGCCAAAGAATCTTTGCATTTCCATTTTATCAAACAATAGCTTCATAACGTTATAAAGAGTGAATGGATTGAACGAAACACTCATTTGCTCATCGCTAACTCCAATTTGCTGCAGGTTCTGCGTAAGGAATTTGTAGCGTTGTTTATAGTCACAGGATTCCGATTCAGGACATGCAATAGCTTTTGGTAACATGTAAGCTGACAGGATTAATGTGGATTCCTATGCAGAAATGCTTGTTGTTTGATGAATTATGTTTGTTTGGGCTCGAAGGCATTAAAACAGACCTTTAAAATGCTATCCGACGTCTGATCTCTAAAACGTTTTAGCTCCTCTTGACTCCCATATAAAATAAGATATGCCAGAATTCGTTTCGCATTGGCCTTGCGAAACTCCTGATTTGTGTTGTAGCATAAGAAATATGGGAACCTAACATATAAAGTGAGTGATGATGATGTGGTTCGGATTATATACAGCCGCTTACTTTGATATTGGATACTGCTTTGAGATCCACTTCTGTATTAGAAAATCAGCATAGGGCATTATAAGCTCTTGAACCGTCTGTCTGTAATATTCGACACGGCTGCTCAGCGCGTAGAAATCAGCTTAAATAACAACAATTTCATTATATAAAGTTATTAAACCGAGTTCTCTTTAAGACATACCCACGTTTAATTTGTGCAGTGCACAAAAATATAATAGGTCGGATAATACTATTTCCTGATGAAAGGAACTGAATGTGAAAATTGAAATCAGCGCTTGCACAGTCACCGAAATATTATTTTGTTTCAGATCATCGGTATCGAACTGCATACAAAATAAAATCATTCAAGAATATTGTTTGATTATTTGCTATTAAATAAGAAGATCTTACACAAAGTTTTCTCCAGTCAATACTCTCATAAAGGTCTTCGCAGAAGTTCATGTGAGACTCGAAGGCCGCAACAGGATCGTTGGAAACGCAGGATGTGTTCATCAGCACAGTCAACGTTGAGATTGTCGCAAATTGGATCTCGAGTGTTGGAAATATTAAGAACTTTGCCACCGATTTGCATATGGCTGCAAAGTTCTGATCGGCAAAGATATTGGAGCATTGCTGCGCTATAAGCCCAACACAACGCAGTATTTTTGCTGTTATACCCTCTGGATACGATTTCTTTAGCGCAACTTTCAAAAGAGAATTCAAGGCAATTAGCATGTCTGCCAAAGGGTCCTCGTTGGCTGATGCGAAAAATGTTATGGCTGCGAAACAAATAATATGTTAGTACAATGATTGACTAAAACAGTTCGACACTTACTTGGCATATAGTCCAACACTTCCTCCACGAAATCAAGATCCATGTAATGCAAACGAAAAAGCGATTTAAGCATGTTCACAAGCCATGTGATGATTTCGTCCGAAAGATCCTTACAACGGCACAGCATCTGTTGGAGATACGTATGTTGAAATAGCAATTAGAATGAGTAGGTAGAGTGCTAGCCCGACTCTTGTATACCCTGCACTACATTCATTCAATTTAACTATATGTGTGTAGAACTTAAATGTTATTCGGATACCTTTGCTACTATAAGGATATCCTGCAATTGCAATATGATCTTTTTACTCGATATATGTTGGAATGCATCCTGTCTGTGCGAGCTGGCGACACATAAATTTCCCAAAACGTCCAGACATAACGACCATATATTTAGCCAAATTTTATTATCTTCCTCTTTATTTTGAGTGCCTGCAACAGATAAAGAATATTTTCTCAACTACAATTTTGGATTATTGGTGTCATGGTGTCTTACGATTGTGATATAAAGCCGATGAAACAAATGTAATTAGCTCCTCTAAAGGCTGGCTCTCCAAATAGTGTACGAGTATTTCATTCGATGTATAGATCTTTAGAACAGTATCCACTTGCTTTAACATTTGAACCAATTCCTTGTCGTCCATTTTTGTAACAATGCTGCTTTTTAGCTGAAACTAATTTTCAAAAACTAAGTGCTGGTTTATCCTATATGGATAAAGTAAAAATATACATACTTCCAAGTGGCTTAAATATAAGCCAACTCTTTTAATGAGCGGACATTGCGTAAAATTTGTTGCATCGAAGACTTTATAGTGAAGCAGGCGTTCCATGGTACAACTAAGATTGTGCAGAGCATGCAGGTCTTTTAAAATATTCGTTATCTGAAAGTCCTTTGTTGTTTCATAATTGAGCATGCGCATTAGAAGCTCATAGTTATTTTGAAACAAACAGTTTTTCACATTTGATTCGTTTACAGTCCTGTCCGTCAATTGGTCCCTTTCAAATAGGCACAACAATTTCCGGTTGTACTTTATTGTCAATGTTTGAAGTTCGGAATCGGTTGGTGGAATCGAGCTGTGAGCTGCTGCTTTTAGGTTTTTCAGCTGGCGATCGTCTAGGAAGTTTATAATGCCAATGGCAAAGGTATCAGCAAGTAGGTGTGGCTTTATTGCGTCGATATTGTGTATGGCTTTTGTGGCGCTATGCTTATCACAGGTATCATATGCCCATTTAATGACGGGCTCAAGCTCAACCGATGCTTTATCAATTCCACACCGCTCCGCATGTAGAAACAAATCACGTATTGTTTCAATGCATTCATTTCTCATCAACACTTCGTTGGATCTTATATACTGTAGAAGTGTAGAGCATTGCTTTGGTGTTAGTTTTCCGTGGGTTATAAGCGCCCTTATTATGATCTGCTTTTCAACAATTACTTTTGCGCTTGAGGATGGCTCAGAAATAATATAGTCACCTAACTGACACCATAAATCAGCTAGATAGTTTTCGCTCATGGACTTGGACTCTTCCAGCTCTTGTTCCCTTTTTAAGAGACACGTAAGACAAACTCTTACGTTCATAAGGTTCTTCGGGTTGCCGAACATGCGTAAAATATCAGAAGCAGTTTCGAGAGTTTGCTTAAAATTGGCAACATTTATAATAGAGTCGCTCAATTGTATTAGCTCCGTAAATATGGAGAACCTGAAAAATTGGCCAAAATATAAATGTGTTGAAGCGATATTAAAGTATTTTTTATTATTTACCATACATCGTTAAACGTTGAACCTTTCTTATCAATAAAATTGAATAGGGTCTCGAGTTTGTCCAAAGGCCTTGCTATTTTCTTGCACGGATCATCTTCGTTTCCGCTTTTCTTAAATTCGAAATGCCAGAGTAACTAACGAGGTGGTTAACAAGTTAGTGAGAAATATATATATTTGTATTAACTTTTTGTAAATAATTTATTACTTACAATGTAAATCACTAATGCGGACATTTTGAAAAAGTCTTCCGAAAACCTATCGTTGGATAGTTGTGATGATTTGTAACGTGGCAGTGAGTTACTTCTTATCTCCATGTCAATGATTGTTCGGAGCTTTAGCATAGTCTTGGGCCAGCTTTCGTTTACGGCTATATTAAAGGTATTGAAGTCGCCTGCGCTTAGTTTTGGATAAAAGACACGCAATGATAAGGCTACACTTTGGAAAAACATATTTTTTGTATCATCACGATAGCTATCTTTATGATAGAGCTCGCAGAGCATTGGCAAAATATCTTGCATATGAAGGCATAGACTTTGATGATAATTTACGGAGAGCTGGCAAGGATGTGGTCATGTATTAATAGAATGTTATAGGGCTTTGAAAGTAAATAATGAGATATGTACCTCCTTCACAAAGAGCAAGTACAATCGTACAACTTCAGTTTTCTTGTCATTTGTATTCGCAGCCATAATATTGGCACTCAGCTGAGGCAAATATGCCACTAAATCTGAGTGAAGCTGTACCCGTTTCGAGGCTAGTTCTACAGTTTTTGTTATACACTTTAGAATTCTAGATCGAAGAAGCTCATCCCCTTCCACATTAACCTCAAACAAATAAGATAGAATGCCTGAAATGAATGAAATACTTTAGATTCTGAATAACGTTGCTCGATAATAACTTTTCTTAAACTTACGGCTATATTCGTTTACTTTAATTTGGCGTACATTGATGGGGGACATGTAGATTCCTCTTTCTAGCATATTTAGAAATGTTAGGCCAAAGTGTTCCACCACAATCCGCTTTTTGAAGCCCTCTTCAAATGTGTCGACTATGGTTGTCTTTCCAAGAAAATAGTTCTTATCGGCTATTTAAGAGCAATGCGTCAGATTGTAGGCCTGAAGAACTTTCTTCTACATATGTACATATGTATGTGCTTACCCTCCAAATTATAGTTGATGATATTGTTCAAGACTTTGCTGTAGTTGTTGGATTTATTTTTTAAAGTTTGGGCCTTATCCGGTCGGCATTCAGAAATGCTTGTGGCGTGCTGTTTAAAAATGCAGATTACTATCTTAAGCTGTGGAGCGTGCTATGCCTAACTTTACCTTGATTGTTGCGGATACAGCCGTATTAAAAATTTCCTGCCATGTTAGTTCGACATGTTTCTTTTTTAGCAACGCCAAAAGGTCTTCTTTGGAATTGTTTAGTTTCTGGTCCAGCTGCTCAATCGCCTTATTACGGGTGGGTGCATGATCCGAACGTAGTTCCCCTAGTATTCTGGTCATTCCAGAGCACAGGTCTACCATTTTGCAGCTAGTTTTAACGTTTATTCGCGCTTAATCTACTTTTAATTCTAAAACATTACTGCTGTGATGTACGAATTTTGCGCGAAGAAACGATACTCCAATTGGCATCGATTCCTTTCTTCACTATCATATGTTTACAATGTCAGCTGATTTGAGGGCTGCCAGCTTCTCGCCATAAAATCAGGACAAAAAAAAAAGACCTGGAAAAAAGATGGAAAAATTGAAAAATTTCAAAGAAAATCAGGGCGAGTAGTTTTTATACCGTATCGCTAATAATAATAAGGTATACTAGCTTAGCCATAAATGTAAAACAGTGCTGGATTGCCACCAACGATGTCGTCATAATTTGATTCAGCGGCCAAAATATTTACATCGAAAAAGCGAACCACGAAAAAGATAAAAGCGGGAAAATTGTTTAAGAGGTGATAATAAATATATTCCGATATATCGTATTAAAAGTCGACGCATATATCGCATTGAATATAATATCGGTTCTTACACAAGTTTCGCTTCTTAATATCGATATAATATCGATATCGCCATATCAACGAGTAGACGTCTTAGTTGTGCGCGTTTGTAGTAAATATTTGGATTTTAACATTCGGCAAAAATGCCTATTGCCGTGTTTAGTTCCGTTCGTGAAATAAGTAGCGAAGATCCTGTAAGTTGTATCCACTACCTGCCAGTTTTAGACTGCAATTAATTGATCGTTAAATATTGTAGGTTCATGTGGCCGAGAACCTGTTGAAGGAGAATGCCGGCAAAAAGTGGAAGACAAAATCGGCTGGCGAAAAGTCTGCTTATGTTATTTTAGAATTTGGAGAACCCCAGAAAATTACCGGTATTGATATTGGCAACGAGCATTCCGCATTCGTTGAGGTTTTGGTCAGCAAATCAGGCTGCGGCTCTGATGATTTTATGGTGCGCGAAACCTCTTTTGTTTACATTCCTATACTACAATTATGTTCCATTTCTAGGAAATTTTGTTGTCCAGTTCGTTTATGACGCCAATTGAAAGTAAAAATTCTAGCAACACAAATCGCGTGCGATGTTTTAGTAGCGATGCCCTGATAGCGTCAACGCTGGCAGAAAAATGGAAACTTGTAAAAATCGTCTGCACACAGCCGTTCAACAAGCACGTTCAGTATGGATTGTCCTTTATTAAGATACATGTGGCTCCCAATGCATCGAAGTCAAAGGCATTGGTGCCCGAAAAGTTTCTTCATTCACTGCAAAATCAACAATCCAACAAGTCGGGCATTGGTGTAACCTCACTTGGAAGCTTTAAGCTACGCGAAGAGTCACCCGACTCGGAGTCCGAAAGTAAGGCGTCACTTTTTCAGCGCTGGAAAGCGTCACGTGATGAGAATAACACTGGTCCCAGCACGGCAGCCGCTATTAGGGATGCCTCCCAGCCAGCTGCTCTACGGAGGCTGAGCAACCCCAGGCCTTCTCCCCTAACAGTTTCAAAATCCCCAAATGTTGAACCAAAGTCGGAGGCAAAGGTGCTCGATCGGAATCGGGAGTCGTTATTGTTTGGTGATAATATCGATGATGATGATGAGGCTGATGATGCAAAAAAGCAGCGCCTGAGCAAGCACATTGAAGCGGACAAGAATCGTAGGCGTATTGAGCAAGAAAAGCAAAAGGAGAAATCAAAACGACACTCCATTGACAAGCAATCGGCACCATCTACGTCTAAAGTCGTAGAAAAGAAAGTTGTCGTTGACAATCATATTCCCAAGGAACGTTCACAGAAACGTGTATCTTCGCCGACTGCTGGCAATAGCACCCCAGCTAAAAAGCCACGGATCAACGATGCCGATATTCAATTTCGGCCCTTCAATCAACTGCTGCGTAATGTTGTCTTAGTCATAAGTGGCATACAGGTGAGGCCCATATTGAAGCTTACATATATTCCTAACAATGTGCTAATCGAGTTGGCTTTTGTATAGAATCCAGATCGCGCGAATTTAAGATCCAAGGCCTTGGCTATGGGTGCCAAATACAAAGCAGATTGGGATGCTGACTGCACACATCTCATGTAAGGAGACCTTTTTCATTATACATATAACATTCGGACTATTCATTTAACTTTGTATCATTTCAGTTGTGCTTTTAAAAATACACCCAAGTACAATCAGGTCAAGGGTAAAGGTAAAATAGTTTCGCGCAGCTGGCTCGAAAAGTGTCATGCACTTAAAAAGTATCTGCCTTGGCGTCGTTACGCATTGGACACCACAGAACTGGGGAAGCCTGAGAGCGATGAAGAAATACTCGATGAATCAATGAGACCAGCCGCAGTTTTGGACGATGTGGACGAAGGGAAAAATACGAGTATAACAGCCGCTTACGATCTAGATGATAATAAAGACATGGACACCACTCATCAGTGCGACTCCGGCAGCGACACTGAGGACGAACTAGAACGTGTTGCTCAAAGTTTGTACTCTGCTAACGATGCGTAAAGAATTCCGCCCTAATTTTCACTCTTCCCTTTACAGAAAATAAGAAAATTATTACGAGTGACAAGAATCAAAAAAATAACAGTGCTAATCCAAAATCACGGGATGTTTATGAAATAAGCACTGACGAAGAAGATTTTCTGGAGGAGAAAAAGAAGCGGCTGAGATAAACTTTTACTTTCGTTCATACCTACATTTCGACCTCGAAATTTGTTTAGTATTAAGGTAAGCGTTGTTTTTTGTAACAATAGTCTAAGTCACAAATATATATTCATGTTGTTCTTTCTTGGGCTTACTGTTCCCCAAATGAATGCTAAAAATCGATTTCAAGACGTTTTTTGAACTTGTTTCCTGTTTATAGAGTTTATGTAAGAAAACAATGTTTAAAATAAGTTTTTTGTATTAATTTTTTTTTTCAAACTAAATAGGGGCTTATCCGATTTGAAATTCGATCAGATTTCGTCGAAATTGATTTTGATAAATGTTCAGATTTTTAACAAATTATTGATTCAAGTGAATTCTATGCCAGTGCCAAATAAAATGAAATAGTAATACATTCGAGAGTTTGCTGAAAATCTGAAAATGTTGCCAAACCAATTCCGACAAAGTGGATCGAGTTCGGAAACAAAAAAGTTTGATGGCACACCTTTCCATTGGCGTACCAAAGAACAAAGAAACAGTTTTTGTGAAATAAGAAAATCTTAAATACTCAACAAAATTTTTGTTAAATAACTTGAGCTTGCTAATTTTTTTTTACCGAATACAATATTTTCGGTTATATTATAAATAACCATTAATAATGTGTACTTTCACCTTTGGGTTGTGTAAGTTTAGGAATAAGCAAAACACTCTAAAGCAATAATATTACCTCAAATCTTGGGAATACAAGATAATCACTTTTTAAACATTACCAATTCATGTATGAATATAATACAATAATATATCTTTGGTTTTTAAACAACAACAGGAAGAATCCCCGATTTGTAGAGGTTCATATCTTAAATTTTTAAATATATAAAATTATTTAAAGATACTGATTTATTTTGTTGAATATAAATTACTGCACCCTTTCCAAATGAAAAATTTGCAAACGTCTTTCTTGTAAGGCAGTAATCGGAATACAATTATATTACCATTTGTATTTTTAGGAATTACTGATTTTTAAATTAAAATGTTGATAGATGGGAGAAAATCCCTTTTAAAAATTACCAATCCATGTATGTACGTATATATATATATATATATATATATATATTTAAAATAATAAATAATAAATTTGTAAGGCAGAATTTCTTCCATTTATAGAGGTTCATATCTAAAATTATTTGAATATGTTACTGATTTATTTTTCTGGATATAAATTACTGCACTCTTTCCAAATGAATACAATGAATACAATCTGCATACAATGGGGACCTTACTTACACACATGAGCCCAATTTTTAGCGATTTGCTCTCAGATTCGCAAACATGTGATTCTCTTGAGCGCAACAGCTGTGAGTTCCCATCCCGGTTAGACCTCCTTGCGCCTGTGCTTTTCAGAGGTCGGACGAGAAAAGCTCAGTCGTGTGTTTGCAGCCGAGCGAGTACATAGAGCGCAAGTTGCCATCAAATTTGGGGCAGTACATACATATACTACGAGTATATAATTCGTACCATTTGACGAGGCAACTGAGGTAGTAGTGTTTAATTGTTATCTTCGGCATATCAATTGGTTGCTAACCCATCTGGCACATAAAAATTGTAAAAATAGCTCTCTTGATATCCGCATAACCGATATGATAGGCTTACTCCCCACATACTCGTAGTGTGTGGTGTGTGTGGTTGCTTGCTTGCGGGGGGCGGCCATATGATTTTGAAAAATCGATATATAACTGAGCTGATGGGCGAAAGTGTTGAATGTTAGTGTGAATTTTCTTTTGTGTATGTATTTTCAGAATGAGCGCCTAGGCAGTCGTCCAGCTGATTTTTCCCGGAGAAACTGCATTTGTAAGTGCAGGCTGAGTTCTTAAAAAATAAATAAATAAAGTGCATTTCGATTGATTGGTTTATCTAATTGTGTGCATTTCAGACATACATATATATACATATAAATTAAAACGCCAAAAGAGGATCAAAATGGGAAATGAAACCTCGCTGCCCATGGACATGTGCTCCAATTTTGATGCGGACGAGATACGTCGTTTGGGTAAACGTTTTCGCAAACTGGATCTGGACAATTCGGGAGCACTGAGCATAGATGAGTTTATGTCGCTCCCCGAACTTCAGCAGAATCCGCTGGTGCAGCGGGTAATCGATATTTTCGATGCGGATGGCAATGGGGAGGTCGACTTCAAGGAATTCATTCAGGGCGTCTCACAGTTCAGTGTTCGTGGTGATAAGCTCTCGAAGTTGCGGTTTGCCTTCCGAATATACGATATGGACAATGATGGGTATATATCCAATGGCGAGCTCTTCCAGGTGCTCAAAATGATGGTCGGCAACAATCTAAAGGATACACAATTGCAACAGATTGTCGATAAAACAATTTGTTTTGCCGATAAGGACGAGGATGGTAAAATATCGTTTGATGAGTTCTGTTCGGTAGTTGGCAATACGGATATTCATAAAAAAATGGTCGTGGATGTTTAAGCGGGCGGTCGGTCGGACGGACGGACGGTTTGGCACGATGCGGGTTGGACGATGAGAAAAACACAATTGGGTATACTTACAAGCGCTTGTATGTATGCCTGAACCTACAATGTACTTTAGTCTACACATTCAAATTAATGTACGAGTATGCATGTGCAAAATTCATTCAAATATCTATATCTATGTATGGCTTCTAGTGACTTGACTTTATGGCCAAAATTTCAATTCAAATTTTTCAACTCATAAAGCATTGTTACATTTTTGTATACTTATATACTATACGTACAGTACTCGGATTGTTTTGAAATCGTGTCACACACGAAACCACCGCAATCGGACCATGTAGATGCTATATAGATACCATATCCACATGCCTTATACATACAGGTGTGGTTATGCTCAAATTAATCCTCCAATTAGTGGTACATACATAAAAGGTATGCATGTACTCTATATGTGTGAAATTAATGCTCTTATAAGTTTTTTTTTTCTATGCAGTACAACTTCTATATAATTTGAAACATTGCTTTCGGCAAAAACAATCTCGATTTTGTCTATAAGATAGTTATAAACTTGAAAGGTTAGCCGAAAGATAGACTTTCGAGTCAAGGAATAATTTCGACTCTTAAAAAGGAACTCAAGCCGAGTTCGAGTTTAAAATGTTCGGGTATTTTTAAAACTATCTCGATAGGATCAAGAGTATATTGTGTATGTAACTAAAGACACATTCGAAAATCGCGAAAATTGGATATAAAATATGACTCCAGTGTATTTATAGGTAGTAAGTATGTATGTTCAAGAAAAGGATGTCAAAAGAAATACTATGGGCAAGATTAATTAAATTTAAGGAATCACCTAAATAGAATCGTTTAACATAATGTCGTACACTGAATAAATTAACTAAAATTAATATCGAAATTGAAAATATATAAGATACAATTTTTTTTCCACTCCTAATCATATGATTGATGATGAATGTGAAATTATTTTGGGAGTTTTTCGTATGTTCCTACTATGTACTTACTATATATATGTATATGGAATACAGATGGCGATGCAGCACGCCTTTTTAACATTGAAATTCTCTATGTTCAGTACTAACTACAATATGTGTAACAATTTTAAGCGATATTTTATTGATATGTTAAAACTGAACTATTTTTGACTAAATTTTGACTAGTGTTGATTGTATTGTCTTTGTGTGTATTTTAATGTGTATTTCAACCTAATTTAAATTACCTATAAGAAATGTAAATTATTATCAAGAGATGTTTATTAAAAACCGAAAAGATAACCACACTTTGATTGTATTGCGTTTTCATTCTTCAAAGCTTTACAGTTTTCTATTTTTAATTATATATTTTGCAATCATGTTTTGATTGCCTTTTTTCTATATACATTCATACTTATTCATTTGTATATAGAATACATTTTGGTTTTAACTCAATTTCTGAATTTTAAGTCAAATGTGTCCACAAAATCGCCCCTTCAGCGATTCTTTATTATATGCAGTATTTTTCTTGATTCTGAAACAATTCCCTAGCAGCTACTGAATGCCATTTATGTCAAATTATGAATGAATAGAAGATCTACTTTTATATTGTAATTTTGAAGTAAAAGTTAAAAAAGTGAAATCATTATAAGTAGGTACAAAAGTGTTTAGTATGAAACATTTGTCCGTCCGCTTTTATTTCAATGTATTTGAACTCATATCTCCAAATATCTACGTTCTTTGTTGAAAACATATTTTTTGTTACGAAAACATGACATCCAAGTGGTTGTTATCATAATAATATAGTTAGCATCAGCCCACTCTAAATCACAAAGCTGATAAAGCTATATAATAAAACCCGTTTTTTTTTTATGAGAAAGATAATGAAAGGTTGTATATGTAAGTGGATTTGTAGATATGTAGATAGATGGGGTAATCCATATCTTCATTGTAATTTGTTATTTTGAAATCATTTTTGGTGTGATTTATTTCTTTGCACCTCATAAACTTCTAGGGGTATGAACGAAAAAATCGTATGTGATTTATTTTAGAGCCAAGGAATGAGAATCTATTTCATAGTTATTAATTCGTATGCACTTACAATTATCATATATCTCAGTTTAATTTTAACAATTCTACTTTAAAGAAATATATAAAACAAATATTTGTTCCAGGAAAATTGCAGTAACCATATTTGTGTTCTTCAAGCGTAGTATCGTTAATTTTATATACATTTATTTTTAATTTCATTTGGTATTATTTATTATCTATGATTTCTTTCTAAATTTTTAGAAATGTGTGCTCTTTTTAATTGAAATTACATTCTACTTCGACTCAATACGGAAACGTTGCCAAGCCTATGGTTTCAGAAAAGGGAACTCTTCAAAGAAGTCTGCTTTATAAGGTAAAGAGGAAATACAGTTATTTTTTAAGAATTTTTTTTTTTTTTTTTTTTTATTTATTTATTTATTTAATGCTAGCTTAAAGTTAAAACTTACAACTAACTACCAGATTCTAATTGTTTTTTGTCTACACATTGCAGTGTAATTAGGTTTTAAAAAAGTGACCCTAAAAGTATGCTATTGTTTATTGAAATTGTCTTCTATTTCGATTAGCAGCGCTTCCGCTAAACTGGTAGTTTCGGAAACGGAAACCCTGTATTGATAGGTATTGAATAGGTAGGAATATTGCAAAATAGTTTTGCAAAAGCAATACCGAAAATGTAACCCCAAAAGTATGATGCTTTTAATTGCAATTACATTATATTTCCACTCAATATGGAATCGGAATGGAACTCATCAATAAATAAGTTCTTATTGAAGTGGAAACAAGAGATAATTTTAAATTATATAACATTGAATTAAAGTAAATTTTTATTGGTTGCTTGGGAGGTTTTTTGATTTTTGTGACATCTCGAAAAAAAGTTTACATATTGTCTACACACTGCAGCAGTTTTAGTTTGTTCAATGGTTAGAGTTTATTTATTTATTTTTTTTGACATGATTTATAAATAAATGTACACTCACACACACATATATATGTATGTAAGTAAGTATGTGTGTATGGGTGTGTGTGTGTGTGTGTGTATGTGTGAAAATGTGTGTAAATTAATTTGGAATGTTTTATGTGCGTGCGCCAGTTACCTTTCTCGTTTCCTTTGTCAAATTTTCGGCACGAGAAAGACATGTCTGGAAACAAAGTCCAAATTTTCGCCCAGTCAAAGCGATTAAGTGTGTAGTTTGTAGGTCATCCGTACACAAACACACATAAATAAAAACATACATACCGACATAACATACCAACATGTGTCGAAATAACCACCCAACTATGGTGACAAACGAACCGTTTAAGCCAATGGATTTTGTAACGCAAAGCCTTCGGAAAGAGCGCCTATGAACACATATGTGTTCGTGTCTGTGCATGTGTGTGTGTGTGTGTATTCGTGGAAATACAGACACATATCGATATGTATGTATGTATGTATGCATGTAGTAGGTATATCTAAATATTGTACAATATATCAATAAATTATTATCTGACGTCTGTCGCGGGCATTCAAGTTGGTTCGTTAATAATTTTCGCCTTGGGTCCATCCCATTTCCAACTTGCCACACCCCCCGCCCCACCAAATTAGTGGGGTTAATAATGTTGATTACATTAATTTCCAGCCGGACGCTGCTGCTCCCCTTTCGTAGTTCGTGCTTTCGTTGACCTTTTGTATTAATTGGTTTGATTAATGTGCTCCAATTTCGGGGGTTATACGTAACCGCCAAAATGTTTCTTAAATGTTGGGTCCCATCGTCCTTACCATTGTGGACTTATAGTACTCGAGGACCAAGTAAAATGGCACAATTTATGCTATCATTTCATGGCTGTGTGTGTGTTAGTTCCCAACAATTTAGGATATATGTATTATACAAGTATATGGATGGATGGATGTATGGATGGGTACGTACTTACTCGTATTTTTTCCTATTCCTTGCTTTTTTTTTGCTTTTTGTTGGGTCGTTCGGTTAATATCCTCAAATAATGGTATGTATATTTATGCATGTGCTTCTGCAGTGGTACTTGCTGGCTTTTTCTTTTTTTTTTTGCTGTTGCTCGTTGCTGTAATTATGGTTGAATTATTGGGTACACTAAACGAGGGGCTATAGAATGCGACGCCTTGCGTTTACGGAGCACTTAAACCTCGGGGCTATTTGTGCTGTGTAGGTATTAAACAATGAGATTGCTTTTCAAGTCGCTTGACTTAATATGCTATAACATGCCATGCCTGTCGGTGCGGTGCTTGCAGCTAACAGGATATATTTATAGCAAATGGTATTGTCAGACCAACCTGTCTCCTTATAAATAAGGAGCATAAATATTTTGATGGCAAGCCAATCTAGTAGCGACATGGGTTCATGCACTTTGCTACTTTGCCGTACGTAGCCCTCTGACACGAATCAATATGTTGACAAATACACACACACCACGCTCACACACACACACACACATCGACGCTCACACACACACACATAGAAGACAGTATATAGAGTGAACATCGAGAGAAAGGCCCTTGCCCCTGGGCTATAATTTATTATAAGTATGTGAAAGCAACAACCAAATGAAAAGTGACGGCTCTAAAAAGTTTTATTAATTAAATAAATCAAGCCAAGACCAATCAAAACTACATAAATACATACATACTATACATACATACATATATGTATGCTTGATATGGCAAAAACTGTTTCAGTGATTTTGGCAATTAAATAATTAAGCAAAACGGCAATCATTCAACTTCGAAATGTCAGCAACAAAGCACTTTTCAGATCTTTATAGAACAACTTCTGTTATTAATATGCTGAATACAAGTAATAATAGTTGTAGATCGACGAGAACTCTAACAGGCAATGCTAATGAAATATCTTCCTATTACAATTCCACAATATCTTCCATTAATTCATCTATTCACTTCTTTAAATAAAATAAATTCGCTATAGTAAATATTATTATTTTTAACAAACTAAAGAAATATAGATAGTAGAGGAGAACACTTAATTCTACTAAAGCATTAATTAGATGAAGTAGGGAGCAGAAAAAGAAAGGTGGGCGAAAATTTAATTGCCAGTCCAGTAAACTATGCCCCGACTCACAGCATTAAGTGGTGAGAGATTTCCCCATAGATAAATATAAAGGATAGCTTTTATAGAATAGAGAGAAAGTACTGACGAAAGTAACAGAAATATGAAAAATCATTATAATTAGAACAAATGATTATATTCCTTGTTATTACCGGATATAAAGAATATACAGGATTTCTTTCGAACTTTCGAAATTATTTAAAAACAATACTTAATATTAAATTAATACAATTAACTTACAATTAAATTATTAAATATACCCTCGACATTTCCTTGAAAGTATATACAAAACATAGAACTTTACATACCACGTCGTAACTTTATAAGACCGTACATTAAACTATTTTTATGTAACCTAAAAAATTATTTTAATATTTTAAGTAGTTAAGCTTGCTGTTTATAAATAAATAATAAAGTGGGTGATTATCATACCTATACTTTGCCTAATAGTTCATTACATAAGACCTCATTTTATTAAATTAACAGCATATGCTAAATCGAAATTCTGTCACCTTTCAATATTCATTCATTCATTCTCAATAATCGAGTCGTTAGTCTAATTGATAGCGCTTTTTTCTTCGTTTGTTTGGGCTTAGTAATATGTTAATAATGTACCGAAAACTAAGCGATAAATAATGCATAATACAAAACGTAAAAAGTATTAACAAAAAAAAAAAACGAAAAGTTCCAAATCTTGAGCAAGAGAGAAATAATAAATTAAAACAAACTGAATAAATATGTAGCTTAGTACTTTTTAAAATATGTAACGATTTAGATTTTGTTAATAAAACAAAATGTGTTATTGGTGATATAAAAAGTTTACGAACAACATTTTTATACCTCAATCAATTTACAATTTATAATCAGAACTCACACGTTTATTTTTTTTAATGACATTCAGTTAAAAAGCATAGAAAATTATTTTTTAAAAGCAACCCGAATTGATAAAGAAAGTTCTTATATTTGTATGTGCAAAATACAGACATATTAAATATTATAAATTGTGGACTTTATTTCCATTAGTGACAACAAAACGAAAAAATGGAACCCTTTATAATGATTTGAATTAAAAGCAGTTTACTGAATTACCAAAAGCTGTCTGAAATTCTATTCTTGCTAAACTAAAAGGATCTGCCATTCTTTATCAACCTTTACAACGCAGTCAAATCAAGACCAAGAAGTACATAAGTATCGTTGAAAGTCCTCAAAAAAAGGACATCTAAGTAATTACTTAACGTTTAGCATTTCCCCTTTATGTAAATCATTTTTGAAGAAGGAGGGCATGCTGAGAAGGAGATGTGGATAATCTATTTATAAGAGGGCCAACAAAATAGAGCTTTAGTTCAGCATCCGAAATGAGACCTACTCCTATTGAAATAAGTTGTGGGGTAAACAGTTCAAAACTCATTTAAGCTCTAACGCGGACCAATTGAGTTGGTTTTGTAGAACTTACAACTTATATGCACGCATACATAAGCCCGAAAACTTTTAGAATATACATATGCACATAAGTATGTACATACACATATACATAGTATATATGTAAAATGGGCAACTTGACAAAGTTAAAGCTGCAGCGAGCTCAAGTACAATTTTAGAGTCAGGCGAGTAACAAAAAAAAAACCAAAAAAAAAAAAACAGGGCATATACTTCTATGTACCTATATATGTATGTATGTATGTGTGTGTGTTTGTGTGGCTTATGTACATGTATGCAAGTGCTTTTATAAACGAATGTCTGTGTGTGTGTGTGTTTGTGACATGCGTCCATATGTAAAAAGTTCTACTCGTGCCGCCAGTAGCTTGGAGTAGTAACCAAAAACGCATACAAAACAATGTGAATATTACAGCAACAAAAACAACAACAACTACAATAACGACGACGATGGCGAGAGCAAGCACAGCAACGACAATAACAACAACAGCAACAACAACAAAAACGAGAACAACAAACATAGCACAATCAACAACCACCGTTAGCGCCACACTTGGCCACGCGCACACAACACCAACACCAACAGCAGAACCAGCAGCAGAAACGCCGGCAGCAGCGCCAGCAGAAGCAGCAGGAGAAAGGAAGCATAAATGCTGACTGACTGAATGACTGACTTGCCTGCCTGCCAGCCAGCCAGCCTGCCTGCGTGACTGGCGTGGGGGGCGTGAGCGCAAGCAAGTTAATGCAAAGTGAAGAACAAAGAACGAGGAGCGAGAGCCGAGGAGGGAGTAACCCACAACCTACTCGCCACCCACTTGCCCGGGCACAGTGTCTCGTTTAATCACAACTATGCGAGAAAAATATACATATTAACGAAATAATAGTAAAGTACAAGAGCGGAAGGTAAAGTCTGGCTTAATGTATAATTCCAAAACGGCATGCATAGTAATACAGATTTAGACTATGATCCATTGATGGCAATTGTAAGAATTGTGATGCTGTTAAGTAGAAAGATGAATCCTTAAGAATATGTTGCAAACTTTAAGCTTCCTCCTTAAAGAGCTTCGATAAAACAATCTAAATACAAGCAATAAGCGTTAAATTATTAGTTATTTAGTTACTTAGAAGATTGCAATTATGCCAAAAATTTATCAATTTCCGATAGAGATAAATTCTTAGAAGTTGAGAAATCATAATCTTAGAAAAACCTACATTTTGATTTTTGCTTGCGGTGGACAAGTTATTAAGGAATAATAAAAAGGAAATGAAATGAATAAAAAGTGCGCAAATAAAATAACATACATAAATACTACAAATGATTCAAAAAACTACTCGTAAAAGCAATTATTTGTGGATCTAAAAAATAATTTAAAACAGTGTAATTATCGAATTCTGTGGAGGAACAATATTGGCTCTGAATTCGCAAAATTTGTGCATTTTGCAAAAAGGAAACTATGGCTGATTATTATAGAATCAGTAAACATAGTCTAAGTACTAAAAAGTACACGTATCCTATTAAGATTTATAATCAGCAGAAAAAAGCTTTTTATATATAAGTGAAAATGTTAATAATACGAGACATTATACGAGTATATACAAGTAATTTGAAAAATAATATTTACAGTAAAACCAATTGCAGTATCCGAATTCAATCGAAATGCGAATTTTTATGACAATAATTAAATTGTCAACATTGGATAGAGTTATATGTGCACTATATGAGTATGTATATATATATTCAGTTGTAAACTGATGCTGCCTGAGTTTATATTGAAACACACACGACTTTTGTTTATAATGGACTTTTGTTTATATATCGCTACGAATCATATCATACATGTTCATACTATATATATGGGAATGATAGATCCTTTGTGTAAAGAAAAAACTGTGTTGCAAGCGAAGCGAAGCGAAGCAAAGAAAAGTGAGAGTGTGTGGTCACTGTGCGCCGGCGGCGGCCGACGATTGCGATTGCGACTGCCACTGCCATGGCCCGACCAACGAACCAACGAAACAACCAACCAACCAACCGACCGAACGACCAAACAACGAACTAAGGGAATGTACGTTTTGCTGAGCAACAAATTGAGTCAGTATCGCACAAACAACACTAACGGAAACATCAACGTGAAAGCAAGACGGACGACGACGACGACGACGACGCGTTTGTTTTGCTTGCTTTTGCTTGCCCTGCCTTGCCTTTTGCCTTGCCGCACGAAGCGAAGTCCAAGTCCATGCGTACACTGTAAAAAATAACAAAGGGGATCAAGCGAACTTATCTCACGCCAACAAAAAAAACCACAAACAAAAATAAATATTCAATTCAAAAAATGCATATAAAAAAATAAAGAAAGAAAAATACGACAAAGCAAAAAAAAAGAAACAATATTGCAACTGTAAAAATAGCTGAAGCTTGCAACGAAGTTGAAAACGACGTCGTGGGTGTTGTACATATAAAAAAAAATATAAAATAGATATATATATATATATATGTTATATATATGTATTTATCTAGAGAGAGCACATATCTATCTATATACATAGAGAGCTGCACATAAATGTGCATGATTTTGTTGTTTTTTTTTAATGTTTTTTTGTTTGTTGTTTCGTTGCTTGTCGTACGCATAATTATCAACTAAATTAAAAAATATTTCTCTTGAAATCGCAAGTGAAAAAAAAAATCAAAAATTGCCGCCAACCAACCAACTACGCCAATGAAAATGTGCAAGTATCAGAGGCGGCACTTTCCCGATACATAGCCAGCTAGCCAGCCAGCCAGCCAGCCAGCCAGCCAGCCAGCCAGCCAGTCAGTCAGTCAGTCAGTCAGATAGCCAAATAGCCAAACAGCCAGTCGGTCAAACAGTCAAACAGTCAGCAGCGTGCGTTCAGCTCAGTTGTGTTGAGTTCTACACGCAAGCTGCTCGTACTCGTATGTATGTAGTGGAGATGCATGCCTGTGCTGCATAGATGTATGTGTCTGGAGTGTCGTCACATATGCATATGCACATATGTATATGTATGTATATACAGCTAATATATGGCAATATGTGTATATACTGATATACGCGCGTGCCAAATATTGCCGATTTTATCAAGCGAAAGTAGCTGGGACAGTGGCAACAACTGAAGCACCACCAGCAGCACCAACAGCAGTAGCAGCAACAGCAGTAGCAGCAGCAGCAACAACAACAGCAGTAGCGGCAACAAAGACCAATCTGACGCCTACAATAGCAGCAACAATAGAAGCAACAACAACAATCACGACGCCAACGTCACAAACAACGAATCGCAGTTACAGAGCGTACTGCAAAATATCAAGGTGCGTAGCCAAAGCCAGTTAAGTATTACTCTAAAAACATATATTAAATATTCCTACAGACTCTAATTTTGTTCCACACACACACACGCACGCACTCGTCCGCATAAATGTCACATAAATGTCAAATGCAGCAAGAAACTTACAAACATACATACACGAGTATGTGCGACATGCATTTTTAAATTGTAATAAAGTAAAGCGCGAATTTCAAATGAGTTTATGTGTATACGCCAGACAAGACTCACATCTCTATATATATATATGTGTGTGTGTGTGTGCACTTAAAAGCGCTGCTCATCATCACATCTCAGTGAAATAATCCAGAAAGTGTCGAGCAATCAAATATTTTTGCTCGAAATAATAAAAAAAAAAAAATAATAAGAAGACAAAGTCATCATCAGACTTGTGTGACTTACGATGCAGAATATTAAATTACAACTGAATTCATCCATTCATTTGTATCAGAAAAGATATTCATTAAATATTACGCATACGCAACGTATGCCGCGCCATTGAGCTAACTTTGAAGACCGCAAAGTAACAACAACAACAATACGTAGTATCTACCCGCAGACACATTTCAAAAAGCATAATTTTAGGCGAGCTCGAAGCTACGTTCGTAATTTGAAACGCGGTTAGTAATTTTGCCAACGCTGCGTATGCTTAATATTACAATTTTTTTTTAGCCACAGCTGAGGCAAATCTCTAATATTGCAATTTCTTTAACCACATGCTGGTAAGCGTGCAACTCCTTTAATTTTAGTATGTGGGTTAAGAAGGCAAATAAAGGACTATAAAAGTTTGTAAAAAGTCGCTCGAAGTCTACACTGAAAACTGTTTTGTTTTGAGCAAGTTATTAAGGAGTCTCTGAAGCGTTAAAGTTTATTTTTACTTCAGCAACTCCCAGAGACGGCGATCCACTAAAAAGTCAATTAAGCTGAGTTTTCAATGGCATTTTCCTGGCAGCAGGCGATTAAAAAGCAATTTGTCTTTTCTTTATCAATTATTTAACACACACACACACACATTTTCTTACCTTATCCGACACTGAAATCTTCTTTATCATACATTTATATGCTTCATATTAACTTAATAACTTAATACTTCAGAAAAGCGGGAGGTCAAAAAGTAATTAATGGACAAACAAACAAGAAAAAGAACAAGTTCCCAAATATGATAGTAATACGAGTATATAGAATAAGCCCTATTCTTCAAAGAACCCTTTTTTTAAAGCTTTGATTACTTTGATTAGCTAATATGAAAAAAGTTTATTTATTTATTTAAAAAAAAAACGTTTACTAAATATTTTTAAAGCGATATAAAAACAAATGCTTTCAGCATTAGCCCTCCAATATAGACAAACAAATCAAAAGATTAAAATATAAATTCAGTTTCTTGCACCTACACTCATTGAAGGTGGAAATATTGATATCCCTCTTGATAATTTACTTACATATATATAAGAAATACAATTACATATCACCTGCTGAGCATTAGAACATAAAGTCTATCATTTGATATATTTAAGCAGTGCACAGCGTAGAGCTGGATGTATTTCCCTCCAAAAATACTCGTACTGTCGCTTTCAGTGCGAACTGCTCTGAGAACTGAAAAGTGAATTTTTAGAGACATATAGTATAGCTGCATATATGTATGTATGTATGTATGTACAAATGTACATATAAACTCACTATATTTCTGCATACATTACAATGCATTTGTGTGTGTCCGTCCGATCGTGTTGAATCCGAAATGTGTCTGCGGTGAAGGAATTCGCCATAAATAGCACTGCTCTGTGCTCCCAGTCCCAGGCAGAGCGGTGACTTTTTTTCTTTCTTGTGATCGTGCCGGTATTACTGGGACTGCATTCATTTAGCTTCGCAAGAAGAAGAAGAAGACGATGAAATGGCTAAAATATAAATTTAAAATGCATTTCAGCTACTTGGTTTCTTAAGAAAATTTTTAGGAACTTACTTATTTTGTTAATGCATTTCTGACAGTTTCCACAACAACTTACGAATGAATCAGAATTTATAGCCATATGTGGCAGCTCGGCTGTTCGTCTTATTCTACAAAGAGAAATGTGGTTCTTAAGAAAAGGGTTAATCTAATTTTTTTTCCTCTGGAGGTTGTCATGGAATTGACATTTTATTAATTCTTATTTTAAAATTCTTAAGCCTTTTGTTTTTGTCGTCTCCGGAGTTTGTCATGGAAGTGATCTTTTAAAAAGTTTTAAAACAATAATGAATAGCATACTTATACATATTAAAGAAGTTAGTATTAGTATGTGACTTGTAATTTTTAAAGTTATTTGGCTCAAAGTTTTTACTTAAGTTTTTACTTTGATTGGGCGGTAGTTAGTGTTAATTTTTATTTTTTTTTAATGTTAAACTTTAATTATACTGTTATGATGTACAATAACTTGAATGAAACTTATAGAAAAATACAAATACAGCTGAAACTAGCAGTTCAGTCTTATTTAATTATTTATTTCATTTAATTATTTATACTTTATATAAATCTATTGAGTTAGTGTTAATGGAAATATATAGGTATGCTAGCATCGGGCTTCGAGCACATTCTCAAGCTTCTGCAGTTCACATATTTCTGCTGAAAACGAAGCTATTTTTGTATCAATATGCGCTCTTAACGAAGCAATCATATCACCATAATGGTTTTTTGTTCGATTACAATTGAAATTAAAGCTGCTATCATGTTTTGTTAATGCAATTTCTCACTTAATTATTGTAACTGATATGCGATGAGATGAATTGAAATTGATTTCGTAAATGGCTTGCATTGCAATTTCATAGTTTTTTGGCCATTTTTGTACACTTTTTCTGCTCTTAACCAAGCAATCATATCTCTTTTAATGCCATAATTGTTTTATGTTCAATTACAGTTCGAATTAAAGTTGAAATCATGTTTTGTTAATGCAATTTCTCGCTTAATTATTGTAACTGATATGCGATGGGATGAATTGAAATTGATTTCGTAAATGGCTTGCACTGCCATTTCATCTCCGAGTCCTTTGTCTGATTGTTCGCGCTGCCTCAAGCCATTTCCAAAGAAATGCCGTTTATAATAGTATAAGTGTGTATTACAGTTACATTGACCCGTTAATGGCCGGAACGTTCAATTAGAGGGCACTAAATGTAATCAATCTTTGTTAATTTGAAACTGCCTGTATGTCATATCCTTGAGCAATACTTGTTGTGCATTAATGGCTGATGGTGTGCATTGCAAAGTTAATTAATTTGCACATTAAACTAATGAATAAATGACTGACTGACTGCCTGACTGACTGGCTGAATGAATGAATGATTACACTTGTTGACGTTTGTTTAAACGCAAGTTCTCTTCATCTCTACAATCATCCCATACAACTACTACTTACTATATATTTATTGGCGCCTTAAAAACTGAGAACGCTCATAGTGCACATCAACGATAAAATATGAATGGCTGTTAAACAGAGAAAAGAATAGAGCAAGTAGGGCGAGCAATATATAGTTGTGAGAAGTACAAGTAAATAGCGCGTCGAAGGAATGGGAAAGAAGAACAGATTATCGCAATGAAATACTCATCATCGAACATTATGCTCGACTGGATGTTCCTATTGTTGTTGAATTGTGAATGGCTTATTGTGCTCATTATGCGATAAAACTAATTAGTTTGCCTTTAATGCGAATTGCTTGGTAATTTATTTCTGAATTATTTGTATTTATATTGCATGCACAATACATAAATCTTATAGCAGCGTCAGTTGCCTTGCCGCGCGCGATCTATTGAATAAATAAATAAATATACTATTGTACAAACATTGTGCGCCGTGCCATGAACACAGTAGTATAACAACAGAAAAGAAACAACGATAATAATAATAATAACAGCAACAACAAGAACAGCAATAAGCTCGTAATACCCTTGTTTGGCATAGTATTGAGAAGAAGAATACAAGTATAATATATACACGTAGAATCTGTGCAATACTGTATCTCTCATCCAAAGAATTTTGCGCATTCGCTGATTGATTTTCTGTGCGACTGAATCCACTTAAAAATACATTTATTTACACAATACTATAGTTGTGCCACATAAATTACAGTACAGTACACCACAATGTATATGTATGTATGTGCATTAAATATGTATGTGTGTGTGGAGAGGGGGGTTGCGGTGCTTGTGGTGCCACGTGCGCAAAATCCATCAGCATGGACTCATCAATGTCAAACCATTGAACCCATATTGTCGGCATTAGAGCACGGTCAGTTAGTCTTCGAGTCTGAATCTGAATCTGAGTCTGAGTCTAAATCCGAATCTGTTATAATACCCTTTTCACAAATGCAAACACGCCATTCACATTTAACATTTATGTTTCTGTCTCTGTCAAATGAAAAAGCGGGCAGCGGTTAGTAGCGGGGCGAGCTCGAAAGCTTTTCCACTCAACAGACACTGATTGACTTTTAGACGACTCTCTCGGAATGGGTTTGCGGGCTTTTTACTAATTTTCTAATTGTGACAGTGCGAGATTTCAATTTGAACTCGCCTTAGGTAGGATGTGGGGCAACCGCCAGCCCCCTCGTAATTGTTTGAATGTCTGAACCATTCGTTCTTGGAGTGTCGGTTTAGACAGTTGTTGAAAGTTTAATTGCTGAAGCCCTAACACTACTGTTTTTTGTTTTATAAAAAAGCAACTAAGCTTAACAACGAATATAACAAACTAGGAGCCCGTCTTGCCCGTCTTTGTTTGGCTAAGTATTTTTGCTTAACATTAGAAGTTAATTTAGTCTTAAGTTGCTCAAGGAACTATCAAAAAGCAAATTACTTTGGTACGTTTCGGGGCTAGGGCATATAGTACAATAAATAATTTGTACAATAAATACTATATGTTATACGTACATACATATGTACATACATATTTACATATTATATATAGTACATAAGTATTTAACGAGCAAAAAAATGTTATTTCATTAGTTTTTTGTGCATGGATATAT